TCTAACATTCTGTGATTCTGTGATCTTCACCGTCAACAGGCTGCTCTTGGCATAGACTTCACACCAACACTGGTACATTCTCATCCTCTAATGAACTGGCAGAAAACTCATTTTATTTATTTATTGGGAGGAGGGGTAGCTCTCTGCTGCTTCAAACCCAGAAGTCAGCTCTCCGTGGAGCAAGCAGAGTCCCAGTGCCAGGAATGCAATCAAAGCCCGAATGCAATCAGAGTTGTTAGGGGAAATGTGCCCATCAGCTCCACTCCCTTCTCGGGCAGGCAGTTACCAGCTCACCCTAACAATAGCATCAAGCTATAAGTGGAGGCTGAACTCTTAAAAGTGGAGGGAAAAGAAAAAAAGAAAAAAAGAAAAAAAAAAGTGGGCATCTGAAAATCCCTCTGGAAAACAACTGTTGCAGAGAACAAGGAAAGTATTTGGTTAATGAAAAGTGTCTAACATTTCCTGATGATTAAGTAAATTATTCAGTAGCTTATATTTAACATATAGCAGTACAGAAGGCTCATTGCTTTTTGCACAGAAATCATTGCATTTCTGGCCATGCTCTGACTCAGAACTTAATTATTTCTTACAAATCCAAAAGCTGTTCTCTTTACGTTGAAAATACTAAGACTTAACTTCAGATATTAATAATTTTCTTATTATATATTTATTTTCAAGTGCTAAAATATCAGGTTACAATTAATCAGAAATGAATTAATAAATCTTTCTTACTTTGCCATTAAAAGAATAATACTTGAAATTTGTTCTGGAAGCCTGTACATATTTTTGAAAGTCTAGGTGAAAGACTAACAGCTTCTTAATAATCTCTTTTCCTGTAGCTTTGCACATTGAATCTGAACCCTTTTCCACTGACAAGTCTTTTAAAATGTGTACTGGACAATAAAAATCTGGATTTTTTTCCTTTAAAGTAGTTACTGTTCTATTCAGGCTATCTTTCTATTAACCACAGTTGTTACAAACAACAGATTTCTTCTTTATTCCAATGTTAAGGGGCTTCATAATAAATGATGCACAAACAAGAAAGGAAAATGTCTTTATCAACAACTCAGGCTCAGAATTTTAAAGGACTCTGCAAATCATTATTTTCAATAGTTCTTTTTTAAGGACATGCTGAGCAGGTCTAAGTAGATAGGGCTTATCACCAGGTGTTTGAGTGAGATTCTGTATTTCAGCAGTATTTATTTTTGAAAGAAAAAGTATTATAAACTACTAGTACCAAAACCAGTAAACATCTAAATTCTCAGTTGTGATTGTAATCTATTCTTCAACTTGGAAATGCCTAGTTACAAAGAGAGGGAACACCACTATATACCACAGATAGGTCATTTATCGGCAGCTTTGTAAAAGAGGTAGCCCTTCATCAGCAAACTGCTTGATCACGTTACTGATTAAATTACATAACACACAAAATTTGCAATCAGCCACAGCTACTATACCTGCTGTCTCTCTCTGGGATTTCTTTAATAGCAATTCTGACTTGATTGCTCAAATCTCGTCCTGCATATACAATGCCGTAAGTTCCTTTCCCCAGAACAACTCGCTCGCCATTTTCATCATATTCATAATCATACTGCAAAGCAAACAACAACATGAAATGAAACAGAGGGATAACATTTATTCTGTCTGACTCTCTGCTCGTAACTGGGGCATCTAAGATACTAGTTGCTTTCTGCAGACCATGGAGAAGGAGAGAAAAAAAACTTCAAGATGACAATTTGGATACTGTGCAGACATCCCTATATTTCTCCACTGACTGAATAGGAAGCACTGGCTTCTAAGGTAGCCATTTCAGGTAAGAGCATAAAGCTAAGCTAGCCTTAGTTCTGTGTAGTTACACTTGCATATACTCAACAGCATCTGCAATTCTGCTGGCAGGTGCTGTAAAAAAAGAGAAGACGACAGAGGGCACTCTGCGCCAAACTCAAAACTCGGGCTCCCACGCAGGCATAGAAAGCAAGGCAGGACACACTTCATCTGTTCCAGATGCTCTCCCGACCTGACCACATCTTCCAAAAACAGCACAACCTCAATTTTGCCAGTGCCAGGTCAGCCAGCGGAGCATGCCAATGGAGGTTAGTCAGGATTGCAGTGTATTAAGCGTGGTTTCGGCTGAATTTGAATTTCAAAGAGTCCAGAAACAGTCATTAGAAGGATTATCTGATCTGTCCTCTTGTGTAACACAGACATGGAATTTAACATGCTCACTCCCATGCTAAGATCAGTAGCTGATGCCTAAATAAAGGATTTTTTTATTTTTCTCCAAATAGAGACTGCTATCTTTTTAATAAAAGAGACAATCTACTACTTCTTTTATAGTACTTTGTTTCAAAAATCAATTACTCTCATGATGAAGTCATGCCTCCTAATGCAAATTTCTTTGATGTCACTGTATTTAACTTCATTTTTCTTCAATAAAGAAACCACTAGCACATAGTAATTTTCCCTGAAAAAATACCCACTGTAATCAAGTCACTCACTGCTTTTCTTTTTGTTAAAATAAACAAATTAGGCACCCTAAGGTTCTCATTAGAGGGTATTTTTTCTCTCCCACAAGTCACTCTAGTGGTTTCTCTTTGTCCTATGTCCCATTTCAGAAGTATTATAAAATAGTAACACCAAAACCGAGACAGAGGGCTGTCTGCATTCATTACCCAGTACTGTCTCTCTTGGTTAGTTCTGGATGTCTCTAGAGCTTCAGGACACCAGATTTCATGTGACAGGACACGGGCTTAGGTATTCTATCCTGTTCCTTGCCACCTAAAAAAAAAGCCTATACACCCCAAGTACTGCAAGGCACCCAATGGCCCTGTACTCAGTTTTTAACTACATAGATGCTCAGATAGAAACCCAAGGTGAGAAAACAGTGTGCAGTGGCAGACCCAGGCAGGGTATAAACAGCCTCCCGGCAGCATCAACATCATTGTCCAACTTGTGTCTGCTTGCTGACAGATGTCAACTAGCAAGGACAAGCCTTGCCCTACTACAATTATATAGAATCATAGAATCACAGAATGGTTTGGTTTGAAAGGGACCTTAGAAATGACCTAGTTCCAACTTCCTTGCTACAGGCAGGGACACCTCCCACTATATCCTTACTTGTGCACACAACCTGCCAATAACGTAAGTGCACACAATTCCAGCAATGTATGAAACAGACAACAAATAGGCTTTAAAATTCAGACAGATGCTAATGCTGCCTGACTATCATTATACTCGAAACTAACTGTTAGAAGAGTCGCTCCCTAATGAGCATAGCTGGAGAATTACAGAGTTGAGTACCTTCTCAAGTGAGTATACTAACTGAAATGAGACATTTAGCTAGGCTGGCTGTAAGAACTACATGAGGATCATTAAAAAGAAGCATTAATTTTTAAAGAGCAGAGGATAAAATTTTGTGAACAATAACTTGCCCAACTTCTTCCAGAGTTCTAGAGGGATGAATAATTTACTCCCTTCAGTGAAATACCACACTAGAAGCCCAAAATTCTTAATATGTTGGGAGGAGGTGAAGTAAAAGTACCTCTAAAGAGTCTCCATCACATTCCCCTTCCTCTGTAGTCTTCCCTATTTCTTCAGTGATACTGTTCACCATGTCAAAAAACCTGTTAAAAGGGAGGGAAAAAAAAATAATCAAATACACACATGAGACAGTATGGGGACAAAGAGAACCCTTCTCTCCTTCTTGCTAAAGTAATGAATGAACCAAAAGAGGACTTAAGTATAGTAAGTATAAACTCAGTGTAAAAGTTCATAATCAAAAAGAAAAAAAAAAATTATTCACGTGGAGAATCAACAGTCAAAATCTGCAGCTTTCCTACTTCTTTTGCATACTCCTCTTATATGTGCAAGACATCCACGATGCCTTAAATTATTAATGAAATTAATATTTCAAAACCTACATATCAGATTAATTTCTCCTCCTTTGCCACCATAACTTTATGTCCAATGAAGGCACTAAAGCATCACTCAAAGAGCCTGGAAGTCTTGCCTACATTTGGAAGAGTTTTTGCAGTGCAGGAAGGCTAGCTTCAAGTTTTTGCTTGAATGAAAAGGGGGTCTATTTTACAATTTCCATTTAAAAAAATATATATTCTATTACATTTGACTTTACCCCTTTGAAAGAACGCAAGTACAAACACCATGTCATGCTAAGGTATTGCTTACTTGTCTTCTAAGAAGTGCTTAGATATGAAGGGGAATGGATGTGGTGAAAGAACCTTTATGAACTAGAAGGGATGAGAGAACAAGCTAGGGATTGGGCTGGGAGGCAGCCACAGCCATTGATATGGGATATCACTGTGATTTTTTTGTAAAGTCGCAGCCTTTTTTAGCACAAAAAGACATATGCCTTAATATGATAAGCATTAGAAAAATAATCCCACAAAGCGTGTAAAAAACTAATTACATTTGTAATCATATTTGTTTCTAATGTTTGTCTGAGCTTGCACTTTGACCCTTCAAACCTCATACATTTCCACGATATTGCGGTACTAAACTTTCACAGGAAAGATGGTGACCACTGAGGATGCTTAGATCAAATTTGACCATAGTTGTGAAACAGTCACTCCCTGTTGTGCATGCAGAGACCATCTACCCCATGACAGGCCATGTTTTTTTCTGAAATAACAACAGTGACACACCTTCTGCAATGAAGTTCTGTGCAGAAATAGATCTGAAAGTCATCTGAGTTGTGCAGCACATACAGGAAACAGCACCGTTCTTCAAACTTCGAAATGCTGAAAGAACAACCAGGCAGAACACGTTACTGGAAAGACGCATTTGGACTCGTACCAGCTATGGCAAACCATACAGAGCAACCCATATGGGAAAGCAGCAGATTAAACCTAAGAAGCCACAGTTTTTCCTTATTGTAAAATTATACTTTTGTATCTGCCAAAGTTCACATTCCGCTCTTTGTTATCATTCAGCTTGCCCCACTAGTCCACAAATTGCCCAAGAAAAAGTAGGAGCTAATAAATTAATGGGATTATTTCCATTGACCTGAGTCATTTTTGTCTTCAGTGCTTTTAGGTAAGCCCCTTAATTTCCACTCCTGCAGCCAGGATGAAACATCCTTTGAGGATCACATTAGAAAGTTAGACTTTAGACTCAAATAGTGAGTTCTTCCTGCATTAGAAATCCTGTACAATCAGCTCAATCCTGAACACAGAAATTCCTAACCGCTTCCTTGTGAATTGGCACATTGATAGTGTGTTGGAAATACATTTTAAAATGAATTCAGCATCAAAAAATGAGGTGAATGACTTTACCACCCTTGCCCACCGAGGCCTTTTTTCAGCTTTGGTTTTATCTGCTGTAACAAGAGAACAAAGATAAGGAAGAAGTATGTATGCCATTCTCTTATGGATGCATAGATGTCTCAACAAAAGAGTAGAAGAGGTGCAGACTTGGGTGCAGTTGTCAGTTTTCTACCCCAAGTTGGCTGCAGCTCTTGCAAAGACATTCATTCAACAGAACTGTTTTATATGCATGTCATTATTGTGCTCCTTGTAGAAAATAAACATTTTTTGAAATAGCTCTTTCTGTAACCTTGTCACGTGTTGAGCACCAGGTGTCAAGCTGATGCAGTATAATTGATTGTTACAATACTAGAAAAGGGAAAAAAAAAAAAAAGACACCTAGAGATGTTACAAGGGAATATAATGCAGTATTTGAGAAACCAAGACAAGTTAAGTCTCCTCATTAACTTTCTTAAGATACTGGACAAAATCCACAGTCCTAGTGAAATCAGTCTATTTTAGCTGGATCAAGATAGCAATCACGTTTTAATTAATTTACAACACAATAGAGTAGAATGGCATTCTACGTTGTGCCAAAGGATTGATTATTTGATTAACATAACAGTTTTTCTTTAAATATCAGGAAATACTTTTACTTTTCAACCTTTACTAGGTGTCTAAGGTTGTCTGATCCTTGCTTCCTTTTATGATTCCTCTATTGCACAGTCCTGTAACTTTTGATAAACAAATGGCTCTTTAGACAAGCTGGGGGGTCTGCGTTTCATAAAGCTACTTATGAGAAGAGCAAGCTTCATTATGAAAATATTTGTCTTTCGGTGTGGTGACTCATTTATTTTTACATCAGGAAAAATTCACAAGTGCTAAGTAATATACACATTTGGGAAGACTGACACTGTCCCCAGTTTATAAACTAACTTTTAATTCAAGTTTTGCAAGCGTATAGGTAAACTCTCCAGACATGAAGTAACTGATATTAACAGAATTACTCACTCATTTCAAGTTCCATGTGAGTTTAAACATCTTACTGATTAAACTGTCAGTTTAAACCTGACGTGCACAGAAGCCACTGACTAACCTAACAGTGAATAAAAGGGTAAGAATGTGGAGTGTACACAGAGGGCAGGCATATTCATAAATATTTACAGCCTTTAAGTGAGCACTTACATTGCTTATATGTTGCTCTCCTCCCCCCAAAAAAAGTTAAAGTGAAAAAAGGAAGACTAAAAAATAACAAGTTATAAAAAGAGACAGGATAATTTGCTCAGGAAATGCCTTGTTCTGACAGTTCACCAGCACCCCCTGACTTCTACAACAGCAGAGTTGGGGCTGAATTTGCAAAACTCTGAAGACAAATAGGGAAGCTTGATGCAGTGTGGCCTCATGCCCACCTCCGGTGTGTCCAGAACTCCCTTTAGTCAATGGGAAATACTGCAAATGCTGTAGCTACTGCCTACTAACACTTTCAGATGAAGCAGCAGATAAAAGAGTTGGGCACTGGCAGTAACCACAGAAAAGCAGCTCCATGGAACTTTTGTCTGTTTTACAGAAGTGTAGCAGTATAGACACTTCTCACTGTCATCAAGTAGTCTGATGAGATTCCAAACTCCAAGAACTTGGGATGGAAGACAAACATCCTTGTTGTCAATTCCTAAGCTATGAAGAAAACTGTATGCAGTTCTGAATCCAACTTTTTCATTGTTTGTAACACTACATTCATCATCATGACCTCTGAGGCAGCCTCCCATAGAAACACCACAAGAAGCAGTTATTTCATAATCCAGGGCTTGTCCTGAACGCTGAGAAAAAGCCAACTTGTAGTCTAGCAACTTCAGTGTGCTACTTCATTTTTTTATTTTTAAATTGGAAAAATAAAGATGGCATATTCTTGCTCATATGATGTCATCTCTGCAGAACACCAGGGACTTTTCTGGAGAACATAAGACACAAAGCACCTTGGGGTAGCAGCCAAGTTCCAAAAGCTCTGATGAAGCCTTTAAGATTAACAGTACTTTTGGGCCTGATTCAATAATAAACATTTCTGTTTCAGAGGTCAAGAAGGCAGATGACAAAAGCAGAGTTACTTACATCAGTGCACAAACCGCTAATCAATGAGTTTGTTGAGCTAAACCCAACTACTCTCCCTCTCTGCTTACAGAGTGTGGTTTAGCACCGTGCTGCTCAGAGACCTCTAGATACTTTCCAAGTCCCTCTGCAATTCTTGAGAGCTGAACTCTATTACTCATGAAATAAGATGCTGATTACACCAGCTGACACATAGCACACAGAAGAAGTGACCCCTCAGTCACTTCCTTGAAGTCTGTATCAAAAACATTTGCGATTTCAGTGCTAGATGTCTCTTCAAACCTGCTGTCTCCTTGTGCAATGCAGTAAATATTTATGGAGGCCTTTGTTGGAAAAGCCTCTAAGATGTACAAAGACCTGTCTTCTACATTAAGGTTGCACCTCTAAAGCCAGCTCTTACTAGAAAGGCTGAGAATCCTTATAAAGCTGGGAACTCCCCCTTCCTAGACGGCTTTAAGTCTAAGAGCTTCAAAGGAGCCAAAAATAGTCTGAATACAAAAATACATTAGAAGCAGAACTGGTTCTGAAGGCTGCCCCAATCCAAAGAATACGTGCCTCCATAAAACTAGGAAAAAACCTGAAAACCACTGAAAAATTAAGTGATCAGAAACTTGCATCTACTTGGAAGACGGAAAAAAAATAAAAAAGAAAAAAAAGGCTTATTCAGGTTTATACTTGCATAAGATAAAGATTTCCCCCTGCAGCTCCTTATGGAGGCAGACAGAGTTTTCTAACAATTCACAGCAACATTTGGCTCACTATCAAGACTTCCAAGTTGTTCTGGACATCTGTCCAGATGAACAGATTGGAAATCTAATTGACAAATTAATTGACAGTTTAAACAACTGCAGGAGGGTATACCAGAAACTGTACTGACCACAGCAAGGTTTAATAAGGTAGAGGGGAAGAGAAAGGAAAAAAAAAAGAAAAGAAAAAAAAAAAGGACAATAACTAAATACTTGGTGTTTTTTTTTTCAGAAGCACATAAAAACATACTGTAACCAAAACCCAAACCAGACTGAACTAAGCATATCATTGCAATTTTTGCCTAAAATAAGTTCTATCCCACAGGATTGAATTTCTGTGCCTATTGATAGTTTGTTTTTCTAAGTTACTTTTTGGAAGGAAAAAGAATCATCCATCTGTGCAAAAACATACTGCAGACATAGCAACAGCTTTGTGTATATGGAACAGTTATTATTAGAACAGAGCAATGACTATTTAAAAAAAAGTAAGATTTCTGGACTTTATTTTTTTTTAAATTACACTAAAAGCAAACACCAAAGTGGAAAGTTGCAGATAAATCCTATGGGGGGGAAAAAAAAAAAAGACTAAGATGAAGAATTGATCCAAAGAGGTCACAGCAGTGGTAGAACACTACTTTCTTACTATCGGAAGTTACAACCTGCGAGGATGGACCCTGCCAAACAGGATGCATGCTATGTTCAACCTGGGCTAGTGGAGAGGACCCCACTAGCTCAGATTCAGCTGCCCTCTGCTGACAATATGGCTCAAAATCTGGACTAAATCCCCCACCAGTAAAGAATTCTCCTTAGAAGAAGTATCCCCAATAAAATCAAATCTGAAATCAAGCAGATAGATAGATGGCAAAGTTTCCTCCTTTGTCATTGTCTAACAAGCCCCATCCCAAAGAGGGAGGTGTGCCTAAGAAAAGCAAGGTGGCCTTGAACATACATTGTTGTTCTTCATTTTTACATAATGAATCCTTCAAGTAGTCATTTCTGAACCCAGAATAAGACTCCTGGGGCTTCACTTAGAGCAGGGCACCTGTGAAAGCACCAGCAATACTCTCCTCCAATTCTGTGTTTGTTACTCTGCCAAGGTCCACAGCAGCAGCTTAATACAACAGTAATTCAATTAGTCTTTTAATTTCAAAACATGAAAGGGAAAAAACTTACCTTACTCCCCTGATAGAAGCAGCACTGAAGTTCCACTCATGTATACCTTTCTGTAACGTGCAGAAGAAAATAAAGAAATAAAACATTCCTTTTAATGAATGAAGCCCCAGCAGGTGTATCTTCTAGCCTGGTACTCAAGAGATGGAAAGAGAAACACTTGAATTACAACAGCCTATTACCTTTAACAGTTATTCTTCAGGGCTTTTTTTTTTCCACCCAAAAACAAAGGGACAGAAGTTCTAGAGAAAACTTTTGGGTTGTTTGTTTCTTCACTGTTTATTCTGCAAACACAACATACTATTTTAGAAACTATGCAAAACAGCAGATCAAAAGGGCTCCCAGTATAGCCTGCTCTAGATACAGAACTTGGGGTCACACGTGACCCCCTGGGAAATGGGGGAAAAAAATATTCCACCTCTGAGAATAACAAGAGCCTGCTCTGCATGCTCCAAGTCTCAATGTGTGGAAAGCCCAGGTAGAGTGTGCTACAAACAAGAAGTCTGACACTGGAAAGCAAAGTGGGAAATTTTTGGAAAGTCGGAGGAATTGCCCAGGGAAGGAGTAAATCTGAAGGTCAAGTGTCCAAAGAAAAAGAAAGGAGATGATTTCCCTAGGAATCCAGAAGAGAGCAGAAAGAAGGTGCCAAACCCCCTAAGAGCTTCTGGAGTAATAAACAAGGCTGAAAGAAGGAAGCTGCCTTATGAAAACACAACGGGCCAGGCCTTGCTTATTTTCAGATCTTTTAAATTCACATCTGTCACATTCAGCAGAACTGAGTTCTCTCTGCAGACAGCCATGTTGCTCCATGTTTATATTCTAATAAAACTTTACTGTAGGAAACAGAAGCCTTTTGTATCTTCTCTTGAAAACATTCTCTTTTCAGGAAGAGGTGGAACTACAACACCTCAAAGTCCTGGCAGCCTTGGGATCCCACCACAATGAGCAACATATTTGAAGAACTTCTGCTTTCTAGAGCTGAATTTCATTTGGCATTTTCATGCCCTAAACAATTAAAAAGCACTGAGACCTTTCTTGCTGAGATGTTATTTATAGCATAAGGGCAGTGTCCAACACAAACACAATCAAATGTATTCCAAAAGAAGACATGAAAACGTGTAGTTTATAAAACATTTCATGAATAGTGAAGTATACAGAAGTCAGAACAGATACACTGCCAACATAGCTGCACAGTGTGCAGCAAATGATAGAGGAAATTATTCTCCTAGCTCTAACAGCTTTCTTCAAGGCTTTCTACATCAATTCTCTCCTCCTCTGTAATTCTTTCCTTCCTGCTCAAGTCACATTAAACATTGTGATGCTAATATAAAATGCCCAACACAACATCCCCAAAATACAAGCAAACATCTTTCTTGAAGCACAAGCTTCACACTATTAAAATTGCCAAGTATAGAGCAGTAAATGGGGGGGAGGGTTTCTCCAGTGGGGTACAGGGCAGGAGAAGAGCCTGATATTAAGAAAAGGTGGGATTGCATCCTGAAGTGGAGGTACCAACTGATGCTAATACGAAGTGTTTGTAAAACTACTATTCAAGTTGCCTGGTTCTCTTGCATGAAGAAATATCACCAACTCAATCCCTCTGCTAATAAGGAGAGTGTACCTGCACTGTCTTTTATTCCTCCCTACATATGCAGTCTGCCACTTTCCAATTTTCCATGCTTGGAAACTCTCTTCAGAGCTTAGTTATTGGTACTTGTCCAATTCCCACTACTGAGAATCATCTAAAACCTAAATAAGTTAAAATATATGTCCTGAAATGCTCAAGAAGCACAAGTACTGTGGGTTTTACCTGTCATCTATGTCCTACTAATCTCTCACAGATTCATACATTCATTATTTACCACATGATGTTCTCAGGCAATGAAACAGTATAGAAGTAATGTCCCTCATGATCTTGCCAAGTTTGGAATACATTGGAGTAAACATATCAGGCGTGCTATCCAAATCCAGCATCTGTTCTCGATTAGGCAAAAAACCCACCAACAACCCAAAACAAAGCTCAAAATGGATTCAGAAGCCAATGCGAAACAGAGACACGCTGTTCTGTTTCAACCTTCCAAACAGCACTGCTGCATTCCTCTAACCCCATGTGGAAAGAGCTGCTAAAATTAGGGAACGGCAAGGCAAAGGTAATGTGCATTCTACAAAATATAATGCTACCTGATTTTTATAGGCATTGATTTATACTAAACTTGGTATTATTAAAGGCATAAATACTAAGATGTGCTGCTAAAAAAGCCATGAAAAAGGAAGAGGTCACAATATTTATTGACTGCCATTTACCTATTTATTACAAAATTGCTGGCTGCAGGCTCCAATGAGTTCCCGTTTGGATTAGAAATGGAAATGCAGTTTCTTCGTGCATGAAAGGAAGTTCATACACTTTGTAACTCACAATTCTTATTCTTAAAGAAATGACTGAATTTTGGAATACAAGTAAAATCATTCATTTATGAGCCAAAATGAAGGATGGGCTGGTAAAGCTCTGAGAGACCTATGGTAGGTATATTGAAATGGATAGTTGAAGCAGTTTCCAAGCCCAGCTGTCTAACCTGCACCTGCAGTAGGGATAGGTGGTCTTTGCTTGTTAATCAGCCCCAAAAACGCCTAGTAAGGATCAAAGTAAGAGTCTTCCTCTTTGCAGTGGGCTGACAGATAATACATCAATTTCCTCCACAAAATCTCTTATCCAATGCGCACATCATACTGGTTCTATTTAACTGATAAGGAAGCTGGTGTCTCCAAATTTTTCTAGTCTCCTTTCTCCCTGTAAGGTTTCTGACGGATTCTAAGTACTTTGACAAACTTGCAACAACAGACTATAATTGTAGAGCTGAAGGGTAACTCCTAAACTGCCCATTGGATTCTTTTGATGGGTATTATGGCTCACAGGGCAGGAACACCTTTACTGAGTATCAATCAGATCCCAGGTTACTGAAAAGCTCACCACAGTAAGGATTCTGGACAGATCAAAAGTACTAGGGAGTGCCTTTAAAACTGACCTTGTCTAATGCTATTGATTAATGCTGGAGCAGAAAAAATAGGAAAACACTAATCTGCAGAAAATACAGAGATACACTCCCCAAATCAGGGAGGAAGGGGAGAAAAAAAAAAAAAAAAAGGGGGTATAACATACCGTAAAGAAACTTTGAAAATGGAATAACAGAATTACAATAACAGCAAAAGCTACAAAGCAGAGGTTACAAACTGTGGAATGCCAAAATACCTATCTACTGACCACCAAACACGTACTGACTAATACAACCAAACCCTTCTCCCAGTCACAGGATAACTGGGCAGCTAAGTGACATAGCTATGAAAAAGGCCATTGCTGAAAGTATCAAGCAAAACATTCCAGCAGCTAAAAGACACATGAACACAACATGAAATATCATTTCTGGAATATGAGTGCACATGCTCAAGTAAGGTTCACTCAAACTGGAACATAAGCAGTCATGGCAATGAGATGCCACATATGGCCAGTACACCAAGCCTACTTGTTTTGCCTAAAAGAAAAAAAATAAACAAACACAAAAAACCAACAAAAACTAAACCATTGAGAGATATTAGGATTCTCCTTAAAAATACTGAAAGGTAAACATCAGAGAGAAAGGAACCACTTAACAAACACTGTGTTAGCAAAAGAGCAAATGGGTATGAAATGGCAATGAACAAATTCAGATTGAAAGCTAGAAGGCTTAAAGTAATGCTCTTCTACTTCACCAGCGGTGTTCCAATCCAGGCTCTTCTAGAAGTGCAGTGGCATTCTCAAACCACTTTCCAGCAAATGGTCATCTGTGAAACCTACGCTAGTATTCAGAAGGAGCTCAACCACTTTATGTGAAACATTATATGGCAAAGGGCGTCTGCAACAGAGGCAAACAGGACTCAATAGTCCAGAAAACTCCTTCTAAGTCCTACATTCCTTCTTATGCTACAGTTAAGCCACTTAAGTAGAAAGTATTGATTGGAGGTGAACTACATACACACAAAAGTAATTCCTAAATAGACTAAATCTTGAATACAGAAATATTTTCAGAACAGATATTTTACAATAGCAAGGTTTACTCTGTAGTACTGACAAATTGTTATTTACTGTGTGGTAAATTTTGGTTTTGTCCAAGAATTGCATAAATTTATATTTTATATTGTTCTCAGAGGCCGGGCGCCTACTAGGAAAAATATTAGTCAGAATAAACCAAAATTAAGCAGTAATTCATTGGTCTAGGCAAACATTTCAGTTTGTGCTCTAAATACGCTATTTCAGCCACTGTCCATTTACATTTTCTCATGAAGTCTCAACAAAAATTCTAAGCAGTACTGCCTCACATAGTCTGCAGGCAAAAATGTTTCTCTTTTAAGAGAGTACAAGTCAAAAGCTGAAGGATGGATAACATGAAAAAATAGGTCTTCACTGTCCTATCCTGCAGGCAAACAAAATTCTGCCACAGAAAAATGAACAGTGCAAATTCTTGCAATTTGCACCATCTCCCCTGTTGTGCCTCCAGCTGACTCAGCCTCCATTCACTCTTCACATACTCCCTCCGCATTTCTGTGCTCCCACCCTTCTCCGAGATTCTACCAGGTTCTTCCTGTCCTTACTCTTACCAACATTTTGCTTCCTAGGAATCCCAGAATGCAATAACCATTCCAGGTTTTCCTCTCCCCTTGCATTTTCAGATTTTCTAAGGTCCCTTCCCAATACCTGTGGCTATCTCACACTCCGAGGTGTGGATTTCCCAGCTTTTTCAATTTCTAGACCTTCTGAGCATCTATCTATTTTTCTGCCAAATACTTATTTGGCTTTTGATTGATTCCACTCTTACTTTAAGACACCAGTCTATTATTTCATATTAAAGGAGTATTTACCACAGCTGACAAGCAATACTGCAAGTACACAAAGAAGATAGTTCTGTTTGTATAAGTAATTTTATGCTTCATTACTTGTATGATGACAACTTATAGTCAATTACTTAGGAAATCTTACAGCAACAGACTTGCATATTTTACACTGGTTTAAACCTGAAAGAAGGTGCAATTTATTTAAAAAAAAATGGCCGAGGCAAAAAGAACAACAAGGACAAACTTAAAGAAAAAATTAAGAATGCCATATTAAAAAAAATAATTCAAAAATGGATGGCAACACATGTCCACAGCATCTTCCTGTGTGTTACCGGAACACTCTTTTCCTTTGCAGAATCCATCACTAGATGCAACTGTTGACAAGTTATATGTCTTATGCACCATGCATACTTTCAAATTGTGAAAAGTTACAACTACAGACATCATCATGGTATACCTTGTCATCAGGGAGCACATGCCAAATAGATACAGTCTTCTCCTCGGCTTCACTGTTGATGGAGAGATATGAGGGCTGATATATTTTTGTTGGTTCTAATATTAAAACCTTGCAGAAAAAAGAATTTTTAAGAGTTACTACAAAATAATGTAGAACTTTTAAAAGTATTAAAATCTGTTAAAACTATTTCTATAGTCATACCGTAGCAGGCAAAACAGGAGAAACAGAATGAAAGGTAAAGTTTTAGGTATTGGGCTAGTTTAGTATGGCTCAAGATAACTTAAGATTAAAAAAAAAAGGCAATTTTAATTTAGTAAGTAATTTTATGTAAGGATAGTATGTGCCAACTAGTAGTAAATATCATAATTTTCCAAATTATTTCCATGACAACTATCAGATTTTTAAATCTTTCTGTCACAAGTCATTCTCTTCCATTGCCATTCAAGAACATCCATCTCCCATGTGGACAGGATTCATGGTGTACCTTTATCATCTTTTGGTAGAAGTGCGTTTGGGTAAATCAGAAAAACACACATCAACATAGAGTTAGACTGAACTGCTTTTGATTTAGAGCACTGTGAACTGTAACCAGCAGACCAAATGATTTTCTCAAAAGCAACAATCACCACTTCAAGAGGCTAACAACTGAAGATTATAGAAAATTTTGCGGAATAAGTGAAACAAAAACTAGAACCATTATGCGAAAGAGATGGGATGCAATGCAGCAAGATTCAGTCTAACATAACCACTTAGTAAATGAAGCTAGCCACTGTGCCACTTTAATAATGTCCTGGCAGAATTACTTCCAGTTCTTCAAAGCTTCCAGCATGCTTTAAAGGGAAAAGTCAACAAAGTTTGGCTATTTGAAGAAGTGCTGTTTCTCACTAGAACTATTTATCTGATGTCTAAAGCACCAAATCTATATTGACTATGTTGAAAGTATTCTCATTCTTCAGAACATATTGTTATTAATTCAAGAAAAATCTGGTCAAAGATGCTTAACAAACTGATAATCTCCTTCCTTTCTTTTGCCCTTGCCTCTCCCAGAAAAGCTCCAATCAAACACCATCTTCAAAGTATCAAAAACACAGAATTTCTCCTTCGAAAATTTTTGGAGTTTAAAGAATTGTTTTAGGAAATAATGATTGACTGAGGCAACTTGGTCTACATCTATTTTTTAAAGATACATAAACACCTAGAGCATAAAGTCTTGGAAAGAGCCATGGCTTAGAGTCAAATCTAAGCCACGCCACCTCCTACAGAGTCCATGAGCAGACAGATGCACCAGAAGAAGTGTAAGGCCAAATTTTGAAAAGTACTTGGGCATTCAACTCTGTAAATGACAACCAGGGGGGATTTCAAATGAGTTGCTTGGCATCTCCAGACACTTATGATTTCTAAAATCTGGTTTAGACCATTTCACAAGTTGGGGTCTTTAGCCTACAGCAAGTTACCCACAAGCTGTGTCATTTCGTCTTCTAAAGGCCAAAAAGAGAATGACGACACTGATGCTACCAGATAAGAGAGCAACTCATAGCTAAGCTAGCACCAATGGCCAGTGAAGTCCTTAAGCTCAAGCTCTGAGAACAATTCATAATAAGGAAATCACAAAAGACTGTTTTTTAGAATAAACTGTTTGCAAGAATCTGAGAGAAGGGAGGGAAAAGAAAGTTACTACATTTCATTTTGTTGACTTTTTGAACAGTGTGCTTTTCCTTCTGAATAGGCACAAATAGAATTTTAATATTATGAGGGAACATGTATGTCTGTCTGCAAGACCAGGATAGGTTCCTGTACAACACAATCAAACTACATGGTTTTATCTTCTGGTTCATGCTATCTCAGTGATCGGTTTTTGTTTCTCTCTTGATATTAATAAAAATCCAAACCATTTGACTTGGACAGTTCTATAAGTCAGAGCCTATTTTAAGTATGTAATTGTGCCATTTGATCATCAAAAAAATCTAAAAACAACATGGCCTTGTTTTTTACAAAAACCAGAGGATTCAAAATATTTTTTACTTTCCTGCAAAACTGTATGCTCATTCTCCTCAGAGAAGCAGAACCAGACTCCCTAGAGAGTCTCATGTTGCTTTCACTTTACTGCCTCAAGCTGTTGCTGTTCAACACTAGAGTCTTCCTTATGGTTTATTATCCCATCTACACACAGAAGCCAGAACAGCCAGTATGCTGGGAGGCAATAGCAACTGCTATTTAAAACAAAAATCTTTATTTGCTAATGGTTAGCTAAAAGGAATACTCAAGACATTATTTCCTGTACACATATAGTTAATATGTACAGGGAACAAAGATCTTTTTACAGTATACTTTCAGGACATTGCACAACACCAGGGTAACTAATAAAAATTTTCAGCAAAATGTTTGTGGAAGAAATCACAAAAGCATGTGTGTGTGTATATATATATACACACACACACACTTAATAATTATAGTGCAATGTTGTTGAAATACACTGTCTTGCAGCTGGAACAATAGATTTCTGACTGTTTGGGCTGATTTGTAACCTCTGACAGAGCACAGGCTTAATTGGCAGTAGGGTATGCAAAGCCTCCTGAGCTAGAGACAGAAATTAAACATTTTTTCTTCAAAACATAATATAGCTAATATTGTATCACCTGGAATACACTGCAAAGGTTTGCTTTAGAAGTATACTCAATGGCAGCAAACACCAAATAGCAAAGTTCTACCTTGACTTTCTTCCTCAGTACTTTCATATGGAAGACACTGTGCAATCCCATTGTAGCCACATAAAACCAATTAAAACCAATCTAATATCCAGGACAAATAAATTTCTCTGGACAAGCAGTTTATGGCCTGAGAACCTGAAAACAAGCAGTGTTTTGTGTTCATTTCCTTCATTTCACAATTTATTAAAAAAACCCCACACCAACAACAAAATAACCACTTACTGGAAATCGAACTACAGACACATCTGTCTTTGTGGCTTCAACAAGGAAGTCCATCCAGAAGTCCACAAGTTCCTGTTTGGCCGTATGATGTTCTGGAGTCAGTTTCCTAAAATGCTGACATATCAAAATAGTCTCTACAATAGACTTCAGGTACCTGTGATCATCCAAGCATACACAGACAGTTTAATAAAGTTTGTAAATAATTATGTCTCTACTTTTAATCACAACTAAAGTATTCCCCACTGCAACACCAAGGCAGCTAGTAACATTTTGGTTCTCTAGGATTGCTTTTAATAACAGGAATTCCCCATTTAGAACTGGAAACATAGCTGCTATATTAGTAACCTGAAATACAAGTGGGTTCTGGGACACTCCTTCCTGCATATATTCCTGATCCCCATATACTGTGATCCCAGATACTGTCTCCCACCCTAAACAATTAAAACTTCATTAAATAGATAAATACCTACGGACCAAGCTGAGCCTATGTCAAACTTGTTTTAGTAGTGACCAACCTCAAATAAAAACTTGTGTGAGAAGTCCACTAGTTTAACTCTCTCCATTGTTCTGTTTTCTGTATTGTACCTAAATTGGTAGTTGCTTAACACAGATTTCTAAATAATGACGCTTCAGGAATTGATGACCCTATAAAGATGACAACAGCTACATGAAGCAGCCTTCTGGCATTACTAGGGAAAGGACAACAGCAGTGCTGAATTTCTCCCTCTCTCTGCTGTTTTGCTTCGGGGCTGGTTTATGGAGCTCCTCATAATATCACTTTCTCTCGGCACTTTTGAAAAAAAGTTGTAAAAATAACCTTATGCAATTTTTATGAACACTACTGCAATGGGGGTATCTGGCTTAAGGTATCATATCTACTCCCCTCGGTACCAAGTGGGGTCTGCTCAACAGCAAGCAACAGATTGGGAAGGAAGTGCTCAAAGGAGAAATCCTCCCTGAAGCACAAATGAGCGTGCTGTATTTCCAGAGTTTAATCCACAGACTTAAACCCCAAAGGCACTGGTACATAAAATCCTAACAACCAGACATTCATAAACTCCAGAAAACCCTGCCCGGAGACTTCCAGGGAGTGCTATCCAGCTTCTCAGTAAAACATGCACATAGTAAAAACTAAAAACCTGGCAGATAAATACACTGTAAACAGCATTATAAAATATTTAGTCAGAAAACTAGAGTTCTCAATTTTGACAATTTCCTGTGTTATGTTGATATAGAAGTGTAGCATTTCCATACTTGAGCATACATACATACATTCCTCTCTGATCAGCTTTTGGAGACAGACTTCCTAGCCTTTATAAAAGACAAAAATATATACACTGTGACATATGGACTCTTTCAATTGGTTGGTGACAACTTTTCAGTCAGAAAGGAGTCTTGGTTCTCCCCACCCAACAGGACCCCAGCCCTTGATGACTGGTCCTGACTTGCCGCCTATATCCAGAACAGAGCAGATGCCAGCAACCTGCTGTCAGAGCATACATCTCTTGGCCTTTGCGTAGCAGATGTTGAGCCTACAGGGTTGTCTTTAACCCTGGATTCATAAACTTTGTGTTAACTGGACTTCAATTTGCATTCTTCTCAATCATAATGAGATGCAACTTGCACCCTCCAGCTCATTTTGTTCAAGTTCCTAAAACAGCTGGTCTGTGCAATAACCATCACAGTATTCCAAGGTACATCCATGCCTCTCTAGCCAAGCTGTCTACATTCCCAAAAAACTTTCAGGCAGTTACGACTCAACCTGAATGCCACTAGCACTTCTCTTCAGCAATGTAACTGCTGACTTACGGTGCCCCACAAGCAACTGCTTTCCCACTTGCCCTCAGAAAAACCTGAAGCCCATGGTGAATCTGCCCCTCTTAGACATCAAATTAAAGACCCATATCAAATCTATTCCTGAATAAGGGCAAAAGGGGAAGAGTGTTCCTTGTCTGGTAACAGTGCTGTGAAACAATATACAGACAGCAAAATCTCTTAAAAAACCTAACCCAGTCGCCTGTCAGCTAAATACAATGCTGAATGCGAAAGGTGAAGTATTCAAATGTTTTGATACATAGCAATGTACATGATCTCATTTCTTTCCTTACCATGCTGGGGATTCAAATGTTTTAATACATAGCAATGTACGTGATCTCATTTCTTTCCTTACCATGCTGGTGCCTTTAGCCTAAACAGCTTTTCTGAAGCCTGGATCACTCTGACATGGTCATTAGCCAACATACTGGCCCCTAGGAAACATCCCACTTCCCAATAGCTCTGCAGTTTCTCCAAGCTCCCCCTTTTACCAAGCAGGCTGCTGATCTTTACTCCTGCAGTAAAAAGAACAATTGGTCACAGGAATGTATTAATGCAATTTTAAAATAACCATTTCCCCCATCTGAAACTTACTTAAATTACTGTAGCCTCTCCATTTTAATGAAGTAAAATGGAAATCATACTTACCAGTCATGCCTTCCAAACACCCTAAGCGGTAGCAGATTTTTTTTCCCCTCCCCCTCTTCCTAAAGGCTTCTCAAGAAAGGAATTTTAAGACATCACTGTCAGGAGAAGCCCACAGTCAGATTACCTATGTTCTTGCATGGACCTCATCTGTAAAGGTAAATTGGGGCCTTAGGCTACACAACATAGCTGTAAAAACTTAACAGATGCTGAACAAGGCACCTATTATGTTTTTTTCTGCTTTGTTTTTTTTTACTTACAAGCCCCAAGCCCCAAACTTACCTTTATAGACAAGGTCCCATGCAGAAGGAACAGATGATCCATTGGGCTTCTTCCAGCAGTGATGTTCTTTTAATTGCCGCAAGTCCTACCCCAATGAAAGACATCTATTAATATTCATAAGTCCCTCAGCAACTCAAGACTATGGAGAGCCTCAGGATTTATTTTGACTCGCTAAGTTTTCTGAGAACTACAAGTTTCCCTTTCATCTTCTGGATGATTTTTAGTTCATATTAGCTGCTACATACTTATAGTTAACACGAGATACGCTACACCATCCTTGGCAAACAAAACAATTTGCAGCTTACAAGACAAGCTTCTTCACCACCATCGTCTTTTATTCATTTATCCCACACTACTCCGCTGTAACAGTTTTCCTCCCACATCACCTTCCATTGTGCTTGATATTAAGGCTGAGTATTCACAAGAAATTTCAACGCAACTGTTGATCTTTATTGGTTCCTTAAGCTTTCTTAAGTAGCCAGCAGACTAAACTTCATGCTGGAAGCAGCAAGCCATCTTATAAAAATGCATCTCACAACATTAGCTACATTTCCATCTACAAAATCTATCATTTTCTCATGCTGTTCACATTTTTGTTACCAACATCAGACAAATGTTTTTAAAATGTGAAATTGTATCCAAGTGGTCTACAGCCTATTTCACATCTATATTTCACACTTTGTGCTCTCTTGCTAACAAGAAATTGTCAGGCTTGAGTAACACACAGAACAAAATAATACTTAAATCATATTAAAAACTTTGTTTGCTTCTTGGGAAATAAGTTTGTTTAGTTATTCCTGAAGAGAAAAAAAATGCCATAGATTTTACAAAATATCTCGGGTCTACCCAAAACATGTTGCAATGTACATCGCCTCCATCAACTCCACACCATACAGCGGTGACCATCTCTACATATGTCAGCTCTGCAAGGCTTTACACCAGGGTGCTACATACATGCACACTGGCAAGAGACCGCCTGAGGATGTACACCTACACTCGTCACTGTAGGACAGGAAGGGGGAATTTGTGTTGTGTGTTCAACTTCAGTTAGGTCCTACAAACCAAAACCCACATGCTAACCACACCACACAGTAAATGGAAAAAACTAATCTTCCCCAGGACCCTACAGTAACACTACTCAGCAATATCCTCAAAGGCTAAAGGGTTCTGCTAGAATGTCTAAAACATTCGCATGCACATGATGGCAACATACAAAAGCAGACACTTATTAACTTCCACAGACTTTGAACATGACCTCCCTGCAGAAGAAGGAAGGAGTTGGTATCCCCAGGGATACACGAATCATTTCAGATGGGTACCCCTTTGCCAGGAAGAAGGGGAAAGGGAGCAATTTAGCTGTGTGGAGGGCCTTTGCCAAGTACTGGGTGATGGCACTCGCAGTTGCAGTGACTGCTGACAAGCTACCACAAGCTATTTGTCACAGCAGCAGCACTGGTCTCTGGTTCCCAGGCTTGCACACTGTCATCCTTCAGTGCAGCTGCAGGAACCCACACATCACAACCCTCCAGCACTCCAGATGCGGGGACAGGACCAAAGCAAGGCACAAACTGACGTGTGGTTTTGATGAAAAGTGCTACTCAGGCAGGGAGGGACTGGGATTACTGGCATGTTTGCTGTGAGGGTAAGAATGGTGACAGCGAGGATTTGGAGTCCCAGCTCACAGAGTAAGGGAGAGTGATAAGGAGATGGTGGGAGCAGCAATGATATCTGAGGACACTTGAGTTTGGGAATCATTACTGTTACACAGCCTGGATGAAGTGGAAGTTTTACCCAAGTATTCTGTGAAGTGGATCATATTACCTTAGAGAGGCAACCATCAGCCTCTCATATTCTGAGAGAACCGAGTTACTCAGTGCTGAAACTCACTCTGGGTTGCTCACCTTCCTCTACAAAGCTCAGCTACAAACTTACTTATCCCTAAAAGGCAAGTTGGAAAATGCAGTTGCAGTGCAGACACATTAGCAACAATTCAAAAGACTGCAACTCTAATTTACAGAGGCAAGGTTTTTTTGTTGTTGGTTTAGTTTTCAGTGGTTTTACTCTTTAACTGGGGGGGGGGGGGGGGGGAGGAAACCTTTCTGTGCAAACATGCAAAGTGAACACCATCATGAATATCACTCTGAGTTTGTGGTCTTCTCATATAATTTATCTTCTTTAGTTTATTTTTATTTCACCATCTTTAAAAGTTTTTTGAGAAAATCCAGGCAAAGTGAAGACTGCCTCTTCTTCCATGATAAACTTGGCATTCACAAGGGAAAAAAAAAAAAAAAAAAAGCAGCAGCTGAATTCCAGTATATTTTATCAAAAATATTTTGCCTTAAAAATAAATGAGCCAAAAACAGAGGAACCATTAATGCCAGAAAAGCCATTGTTTTTATAACGCTAAGAATATACCCACAGCTTGTGAAGAAAATAAGATACAGTAATTACATATTACCAGTTAAATATTACTATGAAGGCTTCATAAATAAACCACTTTCCTTGCTCAAATATTGACAGAACAATTCATATTACTGGGTCCTTTGTGTGTCAAAGTTGCACCGTCTGGAGAGATCATTACTGACAATGCAAAGCATTGCATTTCTGGTTTGGTCTACAACTTCTGCAATTTTGTACAGTTAAGAAAGCAATACTACTCAGAAAATATACAGACAAATTTCATTAACGCTTCACACGCTCATTTTCTTGTGAGCTATTTTTCTGACAAGTAGAGGTAGGAACTTTTAGAAAGCAAATTTTCTGATCTGATACAGATTGGCAAAAATTGTCTTGGATACTGGTCTTATTCTTAGTTTTACTGGAGTTATTACTGTCAATGTAATCAGATATGCATCTTCTAACTACAGCCTCACGCACCCTCTGACATGCTGTTAGGGACCATATCCTTCCTTAGCCTTTCCCAACCTACCAATATCATTTGCATATAACCTGGACCAAACTTCAACCAGCTCACTCTCACTTCTCTCCTCATCTCCCACTGGAAGACAGACCTCCCCTCATTACTATGTGCTCCAGATAATGCTACAGGTGGACACCACACTAAAAGCACTGCCAGGCAAATCTAACTGCTGCTAACAAAGTCTTGTACACACAGATCTAAACAAGAGGTAACATCAAAAGAATGACACACATGCAAGAATCTCGGGACAGGAAAACAACCAAAACATTTTCCCCACATAACCTCTGTATATTGCTTATTTTTGTTTAAAACATTAAAACATAGCCCACAACAAAGAAAATACTAAGTTATCCTCAGAATCCAGCACAACTCAAGCCAGCTGACAAACCTCATTCTATCAACAGGGGTCACAGTCTCATCACCAAGAAATCCATGACCAATGACACACACAGGGTCTACATTACATATGTATTTGAAACCTTCTTTCAAAATAGCTAAGTCAGTCTGAGGCTTTAAGTATTTTGACAATATTCCCCAAACAAAATAAGACACTAGTAGATAACAGGAGGAGTTGCTGTACCAAGGGTTTCCAGCAGACACCAAGTAAATGTTTACATAAGAAGAGCATGTTAACAGCTCAAAAAAAAAAAAAGCCAAAACAACCTTCCACCAAATAGCTGCTGGACATTTCTCCACTAAATCACTCATCAGGCAGGGATGGAACCTTAAGCAATAAGGAATCTTAATTTCTGTAACACTCTCCATACAAGCAACAGGAAGAACAACACTGGACAAACTCACAAGAGAACAATACCAAACATCTGATCCCTACAAATGACATCCAGATTTCATCAGTACAATTAGTTTGTCCAAATCCACTTGGCTGTAGCCTATGTGCAATTGAGAAGCTTCTTTAAAATGGAAGGATTCAAATGAAACTGCACAATAAATACAGCCCAGCTTCACTGAACTATTTAATTTAAAATTAGGCCAGCTGAGTGAATACTTGTAAATGCTGTGTAGAAAGCAAAGCATATATATTTTTACTCCTACACTGGCACAAGAATTCAAATTTCAGTGTAGGAGATCAAAGCTGTTCTATCCAGCCCAAAAAGCAAAAGCCCACCCACTCACAGAAGGGCAAACACAGTAGTTGGGGCAACTCTACTCAGCCTATCCCATCCAAATGAACATCTTCATTCACACCAGAGAATTTAAATTTCACTTCCTTTATCTCTCACTCTGACCTTCAGACTCAAGAAACTTCTCTATCTATAAAACTACTTCCAGACACCCAGGGCACACCTAACTTCTAAACTAGAGCAGTGGCTCATTGCACATACATTCTGTGGGGTGAAGAACATTGCTTCCTTCTCACAGGACAACCTCCTCAGGAGACAGAAGGATAAAAAAAATACATTACAGTAAGTCAAGGAAGTATACAACTTCATGGAAAAGAATGCTGCCAGTTGCAAAGGATTTGTTACTGCATATGACAACATTCAGTGCTTTCTCCCACACCTTCTCTGAAAGCACTACTGACTGATCTTGACTTTGCACTCTCCTCAGATACAGCAAAATCACTAACAAAACCACAGACAAAATGGACACCTTAATTCTTCCTTCTTAGGGAAGGAATTTTTTTTACAGTGAGGGTGGTGAAACATTGGACCAGGTTGCCCAGGGAAGCTGTGAATGCCCCATCATTGGAAGTGTTGAACATCAGACTGAGCAACCTGATCTAGTGAAAGATCTCCCTGCGCATGGCAAGGGGGTTGGACTAGATGATCTTCAAAGGTCCCTTGCAACCCAAACCATTCCCTGATTCTATGATTCTATGACTCTATGAATACAGAGATTCGGAAAATCTGAAAGAAAGAATCTGAAGAGAATAATTCTTCTCTCAGCCCATCTCAACCTCAAATCAAATGCATGTTCCCCACTCTTAGGATGGGCTTTTTTTGTCCATATTTCCTACAGTTCTACAGGAAGTCTTGTTTGTTTTAAAGAATGCTAGCTGGAACTGGACTCGCCCTTCAGGTGTCCCTCTGTTTCACACTAATTATGCCCCTGCAAAGAAGAGCTGTCAGTTTTCACAGACCTGGAAAGACCTTGAGACTGGAAACAGGTCTTCATGACAGCACTTACCTGCAGTCAGGTGGGATCAGTGATGGTGCAGGAGACCAACTTAAATATTCACATGCTCACTATCAAAGCATTCATATACAATTATCAGATTTTTCCCCTATGATGGTGGGTGGCATCATACTCTCACTAGAATGCAATTTCACAGTGAATTTGTAAGCTATAATTACCAACTTTCCGCAGCTCAAAAGAAGTATCAAAGCAATGTCCAGCTGCCAGGAGGAGTACTGCATAATTAATTCCCGACTGTAATGTTGGCTCTGACTCAAACGCCTTCTTGAACCTAGAAAAAACAAACATACAAGTTTACTTTCTAAATAATGTGATCTAATAGGGACATAATTATACTTTTAGGTACTTTAAGTGCTTATCTTCTGTTTACACAGCAAAAATCCATGGAAGCAAAAATATTTTACTGTTTTCCACACACGATTTGTGGTTATTTTTAGTAGTCTTATTTATACATCCTCCTCCCATTTCCTTTCCCCTCACACAAGAAGCGTAGACCCTACTCATCGACCCCAGCAAAATTATAGTATCTTACTGTATTTCCAATTTTCTTTGAGATTAAAAAAACCCTATCAACTTGTAAGAGACCTGTTTCACAGTTATATTTATTAATAAACTCATTAATTTACTCTTAAATATAGGAATTTTCACTGACTTGAAACCTTAGATTCTGCTGTGGATCTGCTGCAGTGACATACAAGCACATCAAAACACATAAGCACAAAAGCAATTGATACAAGAGCACACTTTGCATTTAGCTATGATTTCACACACACACACACCCCCCACGGAGAATGCAAACAAGTTTGTCATATATGAGTAAAGGAGCACAAAAGATTCAGTCAACACAGCTCCGCTCCAATGAAAGCAACGGAGTTTAAAATTACTTTCAAAAGGATGGGAAAAAATCCAAGCAAACAAATGGATTACATAAAAAAGTGAAGCACATTGTGAGATTACTATATAAGGAAGGAAAGAAAAATAACCTATGCAAAAACAAAGAATTTAGCTTCCAGAGCATGCTTTGACATATAAGCAAATCTAAGACATTTTGAGGCCAAAAATATCTCTGCTTTTTCAAATTTTATTTAGTTTGCTGTTTTTCCTGCTCTAACGATTCAGGACTTTGCATCCTTTAACATAAGCTCTGCTTTCCAAAACTGCAAGACGGGGCTCCTCTTCAATCTTCTACATATATACTCTTTCTGTACTCCAGTTCTGCCCACCTACAAGAACTTAGTCATTAGACAAAAAAAGCACGATGAGCAAGAAAATTCAGTTTCTTCTTTTCTTTCATCATCTGCCTTTTACCTTGTATTGTGAGGTACAACAAAACAAAGAGGAGAGTACATACAAAACATTTTCAGTCACTACAAAACCCAATCCACAACACAAAAACCAAACCCCATAAAGGCCCGCTAACCTAATAGAATCATAGAATCATAGAACGGTTTGGGTTGGAAGGGACCTGCAAGATTATCGAGCTCCAACCCGCCTGCCATGCGCAGGGACACCCTCCACTAGACCAGGTTGCTCAAAGCTTCATCCAGCCTGAGGCTTTAGGATAAAATAGGACAACACCCTCATTGATTCTAAGCACATACAGCTAGAACAGACCTGTTGGCTGGTTTAATCTGTTTGGAGACAGCAGCTCTGGAGACTGGACTCCCTTTTTTGCCCTAGAGATCTTTCATGCTGCAAGCCTCATGCAATATCGGGAAAAGGAGAGAAGAAAGATTCAGAGAGTAATCGAGAGAAAAGAAGAAAAAACCTTGACAAAAAGTATGTTTGTTGCTATTCGAGAGACACTATATTTTTGCTTTTTTTTTGTTTTGCCCCAAAATGCCTAATTTCTGGCATGACTACCCAAATTTCTCTAGTTCTTGGACAGAGGACAGCCCTGCAGCCCCCCACTGCCCGAGACCTTGCCACTTACCCCCATAGAAAGGCGGTAACGTCTAAAAGTCTGCCTTTAAAGTATAGGTTGGTTTAGCTGATGATTTTATAAATGCCATCAAGAAACTGAAAGCTGACATTTGGGAAAATGTTGTGATGCAGACACTGAATTAGGGAGATGGCAGTGAAAGGATTTGAATAAAGACTTAATAGCTTTGTTAAGTCTGATTTACACCATCAGTATGCAAGAAGAAAACGACAGTTAACTATTAATCCTTCATCTCTTATATTTATACGAAAGATATCCTTCATTCTATTAAATTGTCAGGAAACTACACTGCCTGCCTAGTTGTTTTTTGGGGCGTCCCCTCTGCACCCCTTTTTTTTATAGACCAAAGTACCTTGACATTACGAGTTGTTGCAAAACCAATGTTTTGGTTCTGCTGCCAAAATCTCATTATCAATTCACTATACTTTTCCTACATCCTCATTTCCTCCAAGACTGAGACAATAACCTTTATCTCAACAAAGTAACACTATCACGGAGGCATTGTTCCTGCGCATGCCTTCCCCCGTCATGGCCTGGCATAGCTCTAGAGTGGGTCTGCTCCTTCCCAACACTGAGTTCTGAGTCAAAACTTCAGTCCCACTGAGCCTGCAGTATGACTAACACTAGAATTCAACTGAATATCCAGCATAGAATACAAAACATCTGGCACAGCTCCCAGCCCAACTCCGGCTTGACTCAACAGAGATCACCTTGTCATGATCATGATTGCTAAGGTGCATCTATTAAAAGTGTGTTAAAATGGCTACACGGAATATCCTGGAAGTAATCACCACTATTATACACCTAATCCTTCTCTAGTTCAATTAAGTTTGAAAATTTCAACTTTATCTGTTCCTAAGACACTATGAATGAGGAAAAAGCACAATGTACAATAGCAAAAGTAACTTCAATTCATTCTGTTTAGCCTGTGGTAATGCTTAGTATTTGTATGCAGGAATACAGTTTTCTTTTCACCTTAGTTCATGACATTAGCAAAATTTTTTTTTAGAACAGATTCTTGAAAGTTTGTTATGGGCTTTGCCTTAGAGGAAATAAATTCTTTCTTTAATCCAAAATTATAAAGGGTGGGGATGATGAAAATATGCTGCATTCCTGTTATTTCAACATCCTCTAAAAAATCCACCAAGTATTGCAAAACTGAAAAGCATGACCAGCAATTATTAACTGCACTGGTATTTTGAGGCCATAAATGCTAAACAACTATATCTTATCTTTTACCAAAAACAGTTCTAATCTGAAGTTTACTGAAAACCAAGTGATAAATGAAGAAGGGAGAAGAAAGCTTTCCATTCTAAGCAATTATTTCAACAGGCGGCTGATGAGCACAAGACCAGAACAAGGATCTGATGTGCAGGATACATAAACACAGACTGTCTGTATCTTCATCTGAATCATAATGGAGAAAAGCAGCTCATTTTGACAAGAGTCTAGAATGGCATCCAGTGCCTTCATTTCAAGTATGTTGCTTTTGGGAATTAAAAGCCTTACAGATAAAATAAGAGACAAAACACAATTTTTTGTTTTAACGTATAACAACATTTTAGTGCATTTCAAAGTAGTAAAAACTCAATACTTGCCTCTCAAGATAAGAATTTTTCCAGTCTATTGTATGCTTCTCTATCCATAGTAACTCCAGACCACTGTAATATGCATGTATTGTATGGTGATGATGGGATGATAAAACTTTTGCCAGCCTGAGTTTGGAACAGTTATATTGCTTGTGAGCATGGAAGCCAAAAAAAAGACAGAATGGTACATCCTAGGCATCAGTGCAGAGTTAAACCCCAGCACCTTTAAGCCTAGCTAGCTAATATCTATCAGATTGCAGACATGCCAACTGATTCACGGCTGATTATCGTTTGCCCAAGATTCCTAAGAATAATACAGTAAGCAGGAGACTTCACATTTAGGAAAAAAGGGGAAAATACACTCTGATGAGGGCTACGTAAACTTCCAAGTCTCTTTAAGAACTTCAAGGAACCAGATCTGTGAACATCATCTCTCATTCTTAACAAATAAGCAAAGAAGACTGGAAAATTCAGAGTATCCCTTAAGGATGCCAAATATTTGGAATGAAAAAACAGTTGAAATATATCTTCTTGTTTAAGGAATATTTTTCCAAAGCTAACAAAAGGACATAGACCAGGAAACCAGTACTCACCAGAACGTCCCTTTGTCCCTGCTTTCTGTATCTATGAATCCAGATTCCAAAAACATGTCCTTGTAAATTCGACCAACCAGGCAGTACATATCTGAAGCTACTTGGTCTTCCTGTTCTACTAGGGGTATCATAATTTCTAGAGCTTTCTGTCTGTCGCCAGGCAGATTTCGCCTATTAAAAATTAAAAATGTTGATTAGAAACACAATAAAGTTAACAAGAAAATCTTTTTCATTACTGTGTTTGAATATATATGTGTGACTTCATTTATGTAACGTGCTTCTAGACACAACCGCCTATATCATATGTCCACACTTCTCCCCCATCTTCCCTTTTTTTTTTCCTCCTTACTATCATGGGGCACCTTTATAAAAGCCCTCAAACATTTTTTCTCTCTCATGACAACCGCAACAAGAGCCTCAAGAGGAATTCTTGGAAGGATCATGTGCTACTTTCTTACAAAATAGAAAGACATGAACCTAGGTTTCATATCTAACATTTCTTTCATAGTAATTAATACTTTAAAGGGAAAAAAAAATCCTGTTTTGTGTTTATGATTTTTTTTAATATATATTTTGAATGTGAAGCAAACCCCCCCGCAAAAAAAAAAAAAAAAAAAAGAAAAAAAAAAGAAGCACAAACCAGACTGAATTCCCATTATAGGGAAGATTAGGAAGTGAAGACAATAAGGTAATATTAACAAAAGTACTTCAGACAAATAAAGCACATAACTGCAAGCATTAGACACTTCCTGGTGACTCACAGTTTGGGTATATTCATTCAGTACCAGGAGTGTAGAATTTTGTATGTACTTGTGTACTGAACAAGTAAATGACTCCTTTCTCAGCAAAAACTATTCTGTGGTGGTCTGGGGAAAATACTATATTCTTTTGGAGAAATCGCTTGTAATATTTGAGTGGCTACAAATTGAATTGGGAGGAACATATATAAGTCATTTTGTATCCATCTTGTAATCTTCTTCAATATAAAGCTCGCAAGAGGCAGCTACCTCAGAAAGAAAAAGAACACACCAAAAGCCACAGCCATCTTAAAGCAGGTACTATTTGATCAGAGGTTCAGTAATGGATTTTTTTCTGCCGTCTACAAGAATGTATGAAAGTTTTGATGCACCTGCACAGGCAGTGTCAATGTGAGATCAGAGCATTTGTACTTCAAGCGATACCTGAACTTGTGATCTCTGAGCTCATGTACACAGTTCCAGAAGGGAGTGATGGGGAAGAAAAGGTTTAAGTGAAGCAGAATGGGTAACAGAGGACAAATGAGTACTTACATCATAACAAAAAAAAAAAAAAAAAAAAGAAAACAGAGCAAAAGCACTTGTTTGAGCAGACAGTATGAACTGCTTTCCTGAGAAAAGAGAAAAACAGAGTGTACAAATCTACATGCTGGCCCAACCTCTATTGATGTCTCAGCCTCACAAGAAAGATAAATGAAACCCAGTGCTGTCTCTTCCCAACATTCAGACCAGTCAAATTCCAACAAATTAGGTAAAGAGCTGCAGTAGGCTCACCAAGTACCTCTAGAGTGGCACAGCAAGGCTGGTGGACTGGAGGTGGACAAGTGCTCCCAATCCCAGGCCCCAGGGAGAGAAATCAATTGCTCCTGGCTAAGCAAGGACAGCCTCCTTCAGGTCTGTGTTCTTTTAGTTCCTCTGCCAACTGATCACTTGCCCAGCTGTTGAGGGTTTGCTTCCTTTTGTTTTTCCTTCTCATACTGACCACTGAAGTAAAGCAACAAGGCTAAGTCTGAGGCTTCTTTATGGTTTTCTGGCTGAGTTTCACTGCAGAAGGGCAATTTTCAGGATGGAGTTTCAGGTGGATAACTCCCCCCACATCTTGTATTGACTATCATTAATCCAGATCAAACCAATATCTAGCTAAACTTAATGAGAACAAAGCCAGTAAGGAACAACAGTGTTCTGTGATATGAGCCATTTATACTTTGCTGGTCTCCAGAGACAGAGGTCCCTACTTTTATTACTGATTACATCATCAATGCCCTCACAGACTTTCTTAATTTAGGTCAGACTAATTCTGACTAATTGAGCCGCTCCATCCTTCCGTACTAGTGACCTGGATTAGAAGCAAGAGGGACAGTTTCTTCCACAGCAAACATTCAGATGTGCAGAGTATTCCAGACCTGCCTTAGTTCAGGAAACATCCTCTATATTCCCAATATGGACAAAATGACAATTCGCCCAAGTAATTCCTTCTGGGCATACACCAAAGCATGACATGGCTGTCACGGACTCCAGGTGAATCTGGAGAAGGGAGGAAGAGGAAAATCTGACCTGAACTCTTTGGAGGCAGTATGTAGACCTTTTGTATGACAAGTACCCTTCAAAGGCTACATCTTACAGTCACATCTATAAAAACAGACATTTCAGTCTGCAAGAAGTCCCAACAGAAGCAATGAAGCATAAAGATCTGCCTGAAAAGATCATACTGCAGTTCTGGTGAACTAGTCAAGTCTTGTTTTCAAAGGTGAATTGATTTTAGAAAATGGTGACCTTAAGGTCTAAATGACTTGTTAAAACTCCAAGGTACCCCTAGTGACCTCTGTGAAGAATATGTAGAAGTGGCAGATACATGATGGATTATTTAATCTGCAAAGCTCCACATATTTATGGTAAAGCAAGGACAAAAAGGGCACAATATTTATACCTTTGTATACCTCCTATAAAGGATCAAGAGAAGATCTGGACATGTTGTTCAGACAAAACAATGCCAGATAGCTGTTGTTCTGGTAGTTGTTTTTGTGTCGTTGTTGTTTGTTTCAAAAACTGATTTTTTCAACTAATTACTTGTGAAATTTTTGACATCACTTTGACATGATATGCAGTTTTGAGCCTCCTCAGCAAACCTGAATCACAATATCCAAATCGGTGAGAAGCAGAGAGATCTGTAGACATTTTCTATATTTGAGAACTTCAAAGCCTGTTGACACCTGCTCTATTCCTCTAAACATCAAGAGCAAAATGTTCATTGTGATAACAGCAAGGAAGCAGAAAACCTCTGTACATTCCTCTGAAAAAAAAACCCTTTTAGTGCTCTGCCCAATTGTCAGTACCCTAGGAAAAAAAAAAAATCTAGGCTTGGCTCTCACTTAACCCAAGAAAGTTGTGCGTGTTGCTCCATGTGGCACATTTTGTGCATGTTATCAGAGGACACAAAAATTAGCTGATTACTATAATATAACCAAATCTCCTGATGGACTTTTAATGAAAGTTCTCCTCCTGCCTCCTGACACTACTAGAGCTCAGACTTGAACGAGATAATGTCTAAATTAGCACAAATGCTGCAGCACTGTCACTCATACAGCAACATGCAAAGTGTGTTTTACAGAGGTAGGTACGGCTAGATATTTATTTGCTCCAATTTAGGTACTGAAATGAAAAAATGATGCAAACCTATAGAAAGACAAATCAAACATGCTAAAGGAAAAGGATGTAATTTGACAGTATGAGAGAAAAAGAAAGCTTAGATTGATCACAAAGCTCAGAGTCCCCAAGGTTGCTTCAGTGAAAACCCTAGCCTTGTCTATAAAGACTCCAGTAGGGAATTTCACCCAAGATCATCAACCCTGTGCAAAGTTTGCAGTTCTGATTTACTGTTCATCAGCAGAAGGAAGGGTAGCTTCTTACCTGTTCAGCGCAAATGCATAATGAAGCCTCACATGGTGGTGGGAAGCCAAGTCAAAAGTAGGCAGTTTTTCTAAAGTTTTCACCAGTTTCACAATGGAATCGTAATCCTTCAAAAAGAAGGGAGTAACGAAGTTTTAGGTGGCCGCACTAAGATACGCCTATACAAACCCCTTTTTGAACTAAGCACCTCTTATTTCATACTGAGAAGTATTTTCAGTTCATTGCAAGTTTTATGGATTTCAGTTTCTTCACTCTCAAACAGTACACTGTTCTGACACTCCTCAGAAATGTGAATATGCACAGTATTTATCAGGGAAACACAATTTGGTCTCCTGTACTGCTTTAATGTGGACCTGTGGAAATTCTAGTACATCTATTTCATGATTAAAAATTAGTTTCAGGGGCTGAACACATACCAAACTTCATATTGTACAGACATTACAATACTAACTGCATCTGAATTAAGGCATCCCAAAACTCCAAAATAGGTATGAGCCACAAAACAAAAAGCACCTTTCAATACCACAGTCTGTAAGGTAGCTTACTCGCTGACATATTTAAAAACAAACAAACCCAAAAGGAAAACCAAACCACTTCAAAGTGTTCAAGGAACAACAGTTGAAATTCTGTATAACAAAGTAAGCAATTACTAGTACCAGTCCAGAAGCCGAAATGCATATGAACATGTTATGTTTCCATGAGCAATGTCACAAGCATGGTGACAAAGAATACATATACATATCAGCAGCAGAATGCTACCATAGCCTTTAAGTAGGATGCACTAGGACTAGTAATGCTGGACAAGAGTTATTATGTTTTGTGTACTTTTTAGGTGCTGTTATAAAATAACACCACTTTTCTGCTGTGTAAAGGCACACTATTAACAGTGTAAAGTGAAGTGAAAAGCACCAGTGGAGATGCTGTAGAAGATTTTTACTAGTGTGCATTACTTACCTAATTTGTTAGCAAATCTGTGCAAAATACACTAAAATTTTGCTGAGAATGTAATGTAATTTACTATGTTTGAAATCATGTTGGAGCACAGGATTCATACCTGGATGTCTCTGTAGGACAGCAGCAAGTTTATTACAATGTCAGCAGACAATACTTCAACATTATCCACTCGCTGTCGGATCCTTGCCAGCTCTGCTGCAAGCTCTTTGCCTGTGTAGAGGGTACGGGCCTTCCTGATGTCATTCAGAATGGACTGACGGAAATACTGGCTGCAGAAGAACAACTTCACATCAGCAATTTGGGACAGGTCCCTTGCATTTGTTTTTCTGGCCCTGCAGCTCTCCCACAACGTATACGTGGGACAGTTATTGATAGAGCAGTGTCAATGGAGAGATTTGGTCAAGCTAAATTATTCATCATCCATTTGCCTCAACAGAAGGCAAAACATCACATCACCCTGGAGCACAAGAGTCTGACATTTATATTCCCAGCAGAATTTTATACAGGGGTACAAAAAGACCACTCACCTTGAACTGGCCTGTGCCACCTTCAAGAGCTGAATAAATCGATCCACCAAAGGTAAGCATATAGGGCCAAGCAGCGACTCAAAACTGGGCTGCATCAGTTCTGTTAGTCCCTTCATAAAACTGCTATCGCAGCAGTACACCTTGTTATGTGGAGTTATCATATAAGGAACAAATATGTAGTTACCAGTGCACATCTGTAGGCAAACAAGGTGGAATATTTAGGGCAGTTATGGTTTTACAAGCCTAAGTATAAAGGAACTGCATATACTACCTGCAGAATTTCACCTGTTAAAGTCAAAGGGAGATCTGCTGCTTGCTTCAGCAAGACCAAGATTTTACCTATGAAGCCTAGGACTATGTAAATTCAATTTTCATCTCAAAAATTACATACACCTGAAATGTATTTTTTTCAGATTTCTAAACTCATTCCTGTAAGATGACTCTTTTCAGAAGCATCATGCTGACCTTAAAATAGTCAGTAAATCAGCTCGATAGTGAAACAATTGAGGGCACACCCTCGTCACCTCAAAGCGTCAAACGAACCCGAGTGAAGCTTATGTATGTTCTTGTCAAGGTAACTGATGATTACAAGTGAGCAAGCACTCTGCAGTTTAGTATAGTTAGGCCCACAGATGTTGAAAACAATAACACAAGCTAGTTGCCTCACAACAGGAAAACTGTAGAGAAAACTAATCCTCATACGAACTGCAAAATTACTCAAATACTTTAGCGTAACAAAGACAAATTAAATTCCCTGCTAAGTAGCAAACCATCCTGGCCAGCGGGACTTAAAACGATACATATTTCTGAATAATTACTTATGGAATGTATTAGCATTGACAAACCACATTGATTTCTACATACCAATGTATGACAGACAATTAGAAAAAAAAAATAATTAAATTTATCTTACAGGAAAGAGAGAGGCAAGATGTCTTGGTGCCTGTGGTATGTGTGCAACAAAAGATTTACACATATAGAAAGCTTGCTGAATATTTATTGTTCAGAAGGGTCTTAACTACCACCAAAATTTGCCATTTGGCTCTCAAAGCTCAGACTCCACTACCAAAGTGGTCAGCAGCCCAGCAAGAAAAGTCTTAAGGAAGAGTCCTTGAGACCGATCATTTTGGTACCCCTAAATTACTTCCAAGATTAATTACTTTCCCGTCAGCTGCTCCTGCTCTCCCAGAAGTCAATACAGCAGTGAAGGACATACTTCAGAGGCTCCCCAGATGAGCTGAGCTCCATGCACTGACAGAGCAATGACAGAACAGCTTTCAAAGGCACAATACCAGCTGTGTGCTTATAACATGCATTTTAACAAGCACTGTTAGATGGTAAAAACATGGAAGGATCGAGGTACTCTAGTCCATATAAATGTATGCGTACAGATATGTCAGTAAATATATGTTTGTGTACAGATCAGAGATTAGTTATGAAGAGTATAGGAAAAAATTTTTTAAGTTACACTTATTATACTATGAAACTATAAAATCTCACTATAAAGGCAATCCCACCCCCACTTCTGAGGGATATAGACAAACTCTGTAAAATTAAAAGTAATTGATGCAGGCATTTACATGAGGTCCATTGAGCTCAACTAACCAAGAACTTGGTTGGAGATTATTGCATACACAAACTTGTACAAGGATTAACTTAGTCTTCCTTCCCCAACAACTGCAAACTATTACAGCTGAATAGCTACGACACATTTTTCTGTGCAATGCAGCAATGTAGCAATTCCAAAGGTAACTTGAGGACTGGGAAGTGTATGAATATTTTTAACAAGCAATTAAGCAGTGTGATGCCAGAACCCAAACTGCTCATCTTTTTGATGGAGAACTGAATGGACACTTCTGCTCAAGAATATGCTAGCATGTAAGGCAATGTCTTGGTTTTGGCTGGGACAGAGTTAACTTTCTTCATAGCAGTTAGTGTGAGGCTGTGTTTGGATTTGTGCTGAGAAGGTGGCTGATCACATACCGATGTTTATAACTGCTGCCAGGACAGTCAAGGACTTTTCAGCTTCTCTCCTGTACCAGTGTTTGCAGGGGCAGGAGAAGCTGTGAGGAAGCACAGCCCCAATTACTAGCCTAGGATTCGACCTTAGGTTTAGGATTGAGACCCAAATTGGACAATAGTCTATTTCATATCATTCACATCATGCCCAGTATACAGATGAAGGGCTCTCTGGAAGCTTGCTCTCTTGGGGTCATGTCGCTCTCTCACTTGGCTCTTGGTCTCTCATCTCTTTTCCAGGATTGTGGTTTCAGGACTCTCCCTGCTCGGGGACCATTAGATGGCAACAGGATGAGCCTTGGTCATCGGGTGGTGAGCAGCCTACTATGTATCACTCATTTGTATACTTGTATACATTACTGTTATTATTATCTTCACTATTATCATTATTATTTTCAATATTATTGTAGTTTTGTTATTAAATTGTTCTTATTGCAACCCACAAGTCTCTTTTCCTTTTAACCCTTTAATTCTCTCCCCATCCCTGGGAGGGGAAGCAAGCGGCTGCGTGGTATTCACCGCTTGCTGGGTTTAAAACCACAACAGGTAATCACACATTTTCAAGAGTGAATGGATCAACTTTTGACCCTGCTAAAACCAAATAAGCCCACAGTCAAAAGCAGAGAGGAAGTTATGAACTTGCTGGAACTGGTTCGAGCAATTACAGAACAAGGGTGGGCAGTGACTATTCTCGAACTTTCCTTTTTTTAAATAAAGGAGAAAAAGTTTGGGAAGTCAGGGCCAAGAGAAAGAGTCAAGTAGCTACAGATATCATGGGGCAAGCATTTTACTTCCTAATGTTTATTCAGTGCATTAAAAATAAATCCAAGACTGCTTGCAGGAAGGCCTTCTTGGATCTCTGGCACGCTCTTCACAAAGCTCAGGTCTTAACTAAAAATCAACTCTGAAAAATGATGTTTATAGCTTTTGAAATCCACAGAACCCAAAGTTTATCCTGGCATAATGGTCAGGCCACCTCCAGAGACAGTTCTGGAGTCTTCACAAACAATCCCACAAGGAGGAAGACTACTCTTCCTGCAGAGGCCACGTGCCTGAGCCCATTACTGAGCAAGAGCTCTTACAAAATGATCCCCAGTGAACCTTCTTTCTATAAGAAATATGAAAAAAAAAAAAAAAAGAAGAGCCAGCAAAAATTGTTTACATGCATTTTTCCTGTCACCTGAGAGGAAAAAAAAGCTGGTTATATTATAGAGCCTTCCATAGAAGACATGTAGACCCGGGAGCCTTCGTAAGCAGTGGACAAGGAAGAACTCAACAGTAGAAGAAAAGAAAAACCACTACACAGGAATAAAAGAGAAGAAAATTAAATCAATTTACAGTTGTTCAGAGGGCCCCCCCGGAGTTGTCAAGGCAGAATCTCACCTTGATCCTCGGTGGCAAGTAGTGTGGGAACACAGTGGCTTTTTCCTCCGTGAGGGCATTAATTTGGTTGTCAACTTAACCTAGACAGTTATGTTTTGTGGGGAGCTCTGTATCTTTGAAACCTCTCAAATTTGTCTGAAATTCAGATAGTCAAAACAGGCATATACAGAAAGAGGATGGAGGATGAAAAAACAGTACAAGCCCTTAAGTTTAATTTCCTTAGGAAAGAAGCTTTCAAAAAAAAAAAAAAAAAAAAAGAAAAACCCACATGCAGTAAACATAAGAAATACAAGATACATTGACCTCAATTTCACTCCTCTAGTTAAATAGCTCTAAATATCTAACAGCTGAACCTGACAAAGGCAGACATGTAGTAGCTCTGGTGACAAAATAAAAGAAAAAAAACCCCGAATCAAATTTAATATATTATTTACTAAAGGTGGTGGCGGAAGAAAGATAAGCTAACAGTCATGGCAAGACTTCTCTTGTATAATAAGAGTCTACAGTCTCCCACTATGGAGAAAGACATTTTGTCACCATCACAAATTCTAACTACAAAGAGCCCAACCCTGACTGCATTTGGGCAATGGTTGGGATGGGAGCCCAAGAGGACGAGGCTGTGGGTGCAGCAGCTGAGGAGCTGCTCCCATGTCAGAGAGCTCTAAATCTTCTTCTCTGAAGCAGAGTGCATGACTTGCTTCTTTCCTAATTCCCAGGCTATGCAATCTCTGACTCAGCCATTTTAACTTCCTTTGTCACATTTCTTTGTCAAAATATAAGTTATGCTAACTTAAGCCAGAAAGGATCAGGCTGTCTTTCTGACACACACTTCCTATTGGCTCACACATTGCTTTACATTTTGACTCGGTGCATGTTATTCCACTTGAAAATTAAAATATATTCCACTTCTCCTATAAGAATCTGCCCTGTAATGCTCCATCCCAACTCTGAACTCACAACTCTGCTATTCTTTCCTAACCCTAATGAGCTGCACTCTATATTCTAAGTTTGCTGAGCACCCAAGACAAAACTGTTGTTTCCCTTGGATCCATTCCTCTGACTCGCCACACCATGTACAATGAAAGTAACAGAATCAAGCCATTCGAGACAAATGGTCAACTTTTGACGGAGTAACACCTTAAATCCAACTGCAATATTCTCAGTTACATCAACAGCCTTTAAAAAACATGAGTAGCATAAAGGTGCTTCAAAAAGTTTCTCTATAAACCCCTCAATATTTAAGGTTTAAAAGCTCAAATTACACTAATAAAAGTTACAAAGTGATTGCAGGTCACTTGAGTTGGAGGTGAAAGGCATTACTGAAAACATCAGGGGCTGGGACAGGCCATGAGTGTGCACACACAGAGTTACTGTGGTTCAACCTGATGCACAAGAACTCAGGACATTAGACAAGATAAACTTGGCCTGAGCTCTCAGATCAGCTGAACTAGTTATATCAAGGAGATAGGAACATACATATTTTGGATGGCTTTGGGCCAGCACACTCAGTACCTGCCAACATCAGGCCGCCTTCTGAAAGACTATCTGTGTCACAGCTCATTTCATCAAATCCCTCAGACTAATCAGAAAGCAGAAGGACCAGCTGGAACCAGCTACACATGCATAAATCCTTATCACAAAGTGACAAAATCTGTAATTCAGTTTCACAAACGTTTTAATTGGTTTATATTTTTCTAATATCCCTTCCTCACTTACCCTGCAAAATTAAACAATTCCAGAGTGCATGCAATTTCAGTTTAAATACAACCCTAAGATTGTCTTAATAGCTCTGCAGTTATAGAATTCAAGACTATGCCGCTCCTAGCTAGACCTACTGGTCACTGGAATATTAAGCACTTCCTTCTTGTTTGATATAACTTCTCAGCTTCTGAAAATAAATATAACACCTATTTGTATTTCAGAGACAAAAATGCATAGCATATAGTTGTATTTTAATTATCACAGTAAGAATGTAAAATAGCCCTTCTTTCAATATCCCCCTCTAATACAGAACTGTTACTTGTGAAAGGGGCAGCCTATGGGGAATTCAATTTGGAGACCATGTCTTCTTAGAAAGAACATCCTGCAATAAGGCAAATACTATTATCTCCCCCACAAATTCATCTGATTTAGTAAAGATGATTTTTCTCTGAAAGTTGTGCAGATTAAGAAGCCATGGTGCTATATAAATAAGCATTTGAGTTCTGCCCAATTAATTCTCAGATACTGAATTTCACTTCAACAGGAGTGATAAAATCTGCAAAATGCCAGGGAGTCAATGGGGTGCAGTCCTCTTGATTCCCTGAGGCTCTGTACTAGCCCTGCTCTGTTGGAATAAGTTAACAGTCAAATATCCACAAACAGAAGAAAGCTGCCTTCAAAGGCAAGAAGTGTCAAACAAATCAAAAATCCCCCCAAACAAAACCACAATGTTTTACTCATGGATGGGAGAATTTAGCATAATCCCATCTACTCGCCTAAACTTCAGGTCAGCACCCAATGTAACTTTTTTTTTTTTAATAAATAAAATCAGCTGAGGTAATAAAAACAGCCAGTATCTCTGCATCTCTCACAGCAGGAACTTTTCTTCTGCTGACTCTTCTTGAACTAAGATCAGCTTTTTTGCATTTCTCCTACTAGTTCTTTTGAGAAATATCTGCTCTTATTTCAATTCTTCTGATGAGATTTTTCTTAAAGGTAATTCTCTGACTGCAGATGGTATTACATGTAGCAGATGGCAAAATCCTCAACCATTATTAAGTCTATTCCCTCTACCCCCACAGTAAATCACCATGTGCTGATGTTTTAATGAATACAGACTCAGTTTGGGTTTACTTCAAATCCCACTCAAATGAATGACAGCCTTGCTATTGATTTGAAAAGGAATATAAGTAAGTCTCACATCTCAAATGAACTGAAACACAGAGACTGGGTCTACTCTTTCAAATACTTCCCATTTTCTTTAGAAATATTTTCTTTATATGCCCAGCAATAACAGTCTATAGCAGCCATGCCACATCCTAAATGCTTGTTAAAAAAATCAGCATACACTCTACATGGTTCTTTCACCATAATCACACAGAAATAAAAGTTCCAACTTTTTCCAAGGAAAGTATGTGCCAAATATTTTAGTCAAAGAATTAAAAAAAATTAAAGAATGAGCAAGAGATAGTGATGTATCATAAATAACAATAAACACCACTGTTGTCATTATCAACAAAATATTTACTGAAGGTTACTACACAGTGTTTTTACATACTTGGATATCAAAAAAAATCAAACTGCCCCCAAATCATTCATCAGATAGGTGGGGGGTATTAAAAATACTTCCCCCTATTTCCACAGTGAAAGAGAGCAATAGCTAAACACATCCTACAGTCTTCTAGCAGTAGCTATACTATATACCTATTCTGAGCTTGCAGATGCCTCTGGCATGCCTCATCCAGGGTCACTCATTCTCCTGCTCCCACCAAAGCAGCACTGCAACAAACCGTCTCCCAAGCTACACCTTAAACAAGAGGCAGTTAGGAAGGACTGTGGAAAACCAGTAAAAATTACAACCTCTGATCCCCTCAGATGTCAGAAAAGGCAGACACTTATAAAAGTGCCCCAGCCATACAACCATAACCTTGTTGCTTGATTGCTAATACCTGTGAGTCAGCTGCCCAGCAGATGGTTCCTATTGCCTCCCAATCAGGCCGGCAGCTGGACCACAGTCTCACACCTGCCTAAGACTCCAACCTGGTGCAAGCAAGCAGCCTGAACTGAAAAGTGAGCACTGTGTCAAGGTGTTACTTACTGCAATTGGTTGCAAACCACATGTATGATGCATGCACATTAAACTTCCTTAGATTCAGCACAAAGTGAAATTAAAAAAAAAAAAAAAAAAAAGGAATAAATGGCCATTTGGAACCTGCCTGCAGCTTTTCTCCAAAGTTGATAAGATTCGAACCAGGGAGAACTAGGATGAAATAAAACCTGGTGAGCTAAACCAAGCAAAGTACAGCCATATACTGTAACCTTTATACCAAAATCTTCTTGGGACTGAAACTCCTTACTAGAAATTTCTAGAATGCCTCTGCTGCTTGGTTGACCTCAAAAATCAGATAACGGCAAAAACTAAACTTAAGCTTTCAAATATCAAAGTAAATGCCTCTTGTCAAAGTATCACTCCCTGTAAAAACGTATGGTTTTGGTATTACTGCAACATTTGGAAAAGGTCCAACTAAACAGCTATAAAACCACATATAACAGGAAATGAGCCTATGTTATCTTGCACTGCTCTGCCCTGACAAGCTCCAGGCAGCTTATCCTAGCTATGCAATGTGGTATTGACTATTATTAGGAAGCACAAAAATCCAGTCAGAACAAAGAACAAAACAAACAAAACAGTTAGTAATGGATTTTTTTTTTCTCCCCACTAGTTTTAGGGATACAAGGTCCAGGAAAAGCAAACACAAGGCATTTCAGTTAGACAGATATATATAGATACACACACACACACACTTGTTTTGTAGCCTTTTTAATCCCCCGGTGCCAGGGACACCATTGTCCTGTTACGGCTGACGTTTGTGTGCTATTGAAAAACATGTTCTAGAACAGCAGGACTAAACTCCTGGTTTATTCATATGTGAACTTCATTTTTTTTTTTTCATATTTGCAGCTTCACATAATCATTTATATGACTGTTTTTGGTAAGGGTGGGCACCACAGTCACAGTGTCTCAGGAACAGCACCTTTGTCATATCAATTTATCCAGGAGTTATGATTTATGAAGAAACATGATTTTCATGAAGCAGGAATTATATTCAATAGTTAGGCATGCACCAACATGGTGAAAAGTCTACTTCCAGGTAATTTGGCTTACATCATGCCAAAAAATTAGGAAAAAGGAAGAAAAAAAAAATCAGAATCAGTTCCAGAGTTACTAAACCAATGATACTAACTTCCCTGTTCTAATCCCTGGGAAAATACTTCCTCCCAGTAAAGATGTTATGTGGGTGTGCTTGAAAACATCCAAGACTCTCAAGGAACACATTCTTTTTGTGACACACATTGAAACATTTCTAAAAGTGATGACTGACAGTTTCACAGACACCTGTCCAAATTTAAATGGAAAACAGAACAATCCTTTCTCGAACAGATGAAGGCCAAGTTATCATACCTCTCCTTGAGCTTTAGGGACTGTCATTTAAAAACAGGACAAGATGACAACATCTTCCCTTTATTCTACTCTACCAGTCAACTCCTGCTGGTTTCCTGCTAACAGAGCTCATCCCTCTACCCTCCCTGAGATATTACATTAGTCACACATAATTTTCCCTAGATCCTGGGCCACCAGAACAAAAATACAGAATGCAATACATTCATTTACAAGAAAGGCATTACTGTTCTCTTTCATTCTGTCTAAAGGCCTAACTGATCATTTACCGCACTTTCATTAGAGAGAGGCAAGACATTTTTAGTCTAACACGTCATTCACAGCATTCTGTGGGTCTCTGAAAAGCACTTTTTGGTGAAGAGTTATACAGAAATGCTATATGGAACCCTCTTTTTTTTTTTTTTAATAAAAAAGAATATGTAACTTAAAATGCAGCATTAGGACCAAAGCATGCACTGTTTTTTAATCCACCTTCAGAAACTATCAGCTTAGTAGATAACTGCACCCTTTTCAAAGAATCATGTTTCATACTAGCAAGTCAGTACTTAATCCACGAATTTCGCTGTTAAATAAAAAAGTAAAACCAGGAATACTGTGGGTTTATGTCAGTTTTAGGACTGTGGGAAATAAAACCTGACCAATTTCTAAAATTAAATACTTGATATGCCCCTTAGAAAAGTTTATTCAAATAGATGGAATTGTACAGCATACACATAGCACCTCAAGATACCTGCACACCACTGACTAACTGCTACAAAATTATATCTTAGCATATATGGCTACCAGTAACTCCCAAAATGAAGCCAAGAACAACTCAACACGCCAGATAATATATTCTGACATGACTGGCCCTGCTACTCCAGAACAAACCACATTGAGAAAGCAGTGTTCTCCCAGTCACAGGTCTGCCTCCCTTGAACTTGAGAATGAAAGGGGAAGGGGGATTTGCAAGGCCAACCTCAGAAACCAGGGAGATGCCAAGGTGCAGAAACCTACAGTTTAATGACTGGCAGTCATAACCAGACTACCGGGATCTCCACTGCGCTGGGACTAACAGGCCCCACAACTCAACTTCCAGAAATAAATACACACACACACTCTCTCTTTATAAATATACATATTTTCATAGCTGTAGCCACGGGTTTCTAAAATGAGCACTTTCCAAATAACTCTCCTTTTCAGTAAGAGTATTTTTTTAAAACACTAAAGAACACTGTACAGAAAAAGGCAACAGAAAAAACAAAATGACAGATGTAAATGGTGTGTGAAAAAATATGACAGACAAGTAAAGGCAGCAAGGAAAATACCATTGATAGATGGAGGCAAGGTAAGAAGTGAGACCAGTACCTAGCAACAAAGTGATATACACAGATTTGCTGCTACGATTTGCAGAATTCTGCATCTAACTCTGTAAAACACAGTATGAGAGCATTAAATTATTCAAGTGGAAAACATAAGACAAACAACATTAAATGAAACAGAAGTCTGGAATGCCTAGAATGCAACTGGCACCCAGAAATCATACTTACATTATTCTTCTGGAAAATAATTTCCTGGAATAAAAAAAAGAAGAAGAAAAAAATGTTGATACCACTGAACAACTACTACTAGAAAAGACATCTGATCGGCATGACTCGCTAATATTAACATTTATAGACACATGACAGGAAAAGGCTGCTTGGTAGATATTTTCTATGCCTGCCAAATGAAGATAAATCAAGTATTGTCCCACGAGAGACAAAATTACTATGGAACCAAGTAGATACGTACATCTTATATGTACACAGGAGCATATGTAACGCATGCATCTGTATATACATATACACATGCACACATGTACATACCCCTCCCTATATAAATTTTCCCAGAGGAATGCTGCCCCAAAATTGACTATTAATACCACCTCTACTCACATTTGAGAACTTAAATATAGTAACATTCTCCTACCAGCGGAAGAAACTGTGAAGAATAGTAAAAACAGTATTTCTATAAGGTTTTAAAATATTCCAAAACAGGTTGAAATTCACATTGCTCTAGTAAGTCTGATGCCAAGAATGTATCTTCACATTTTCAATGTAAAGTTTCAGAGAACAAGAAGCCAGAGCACACCCAGATGGAAGGAGCTGGTTCTTGCACACTAATCTGGGTGGTACAGCCCAAGTGTGAACCACCTGTGGACGGGGACTTCGCTTTCAGGAAGATTTGTCAGTAAGTTCTGATCCCAGGAACCAACAACCCTGCCAGATTTATCAGAGAGCTACGCTGCACCTCTGCCACTGGGACTGCTGAGCAGCTTCACCTACAAACACAGCATCAAACCAAGGCACCTCGTATTTTCCATGTTGCATAAGTCAGGCTTCCATAAAATTGCTCTTCTCCTTGTTGAGGGGACATGTTTCTATGTTGCTAGCTTTCAAAGTGTGGGACAGAAATATATTTATATATGTGAATATACAAACCTATACATGGACACATTTAGAACTATAAGACAGTTTCGGGTGGAAGGGAGTTTTAAAGGTCACCTAATCAACCCCCCAGCATGAGCAGGCACATCTGTCACTAGATGAGGTTGCTCTAAGACCCATCCAACCTGACCTGAATGTGCATCTAGAGGAATATTGCACCAGCAAAAGTTTACCTACATTGCCTGGTACCCCAGTGAAACCACATGCTGCAGTTTTGTGTTTGAATTCACCACCTTCTACACAAGATTAAAACCACACACAGTCCTGCATTGCTTCTACTCGATCTGCTGGCTGTAAACAAACACAGGAACAAAAACGGCCTCAAAAGATGCCCAGACATGCCCACAGCTACTTCTTTTCAGGCAGTCACTAAATGATATGGAAAAGATCTTGCTCTTCTTGAAGAAAAGATTACTTTTCTGCAAACAATCAAAAGCAGAAATATGGGCCCAGCTCAAAGCTAAAGGCAACCAAAGAGAATCTTTCAGTGGGCACTGTATCAGTGGCAAGTTGGACATTCAGGTCTCCCTGTGCAGAATTGGGCCTCCACTGACAAAATTGGAAGGAACCCTGCGCGTGACCCATTTGCAAAACCTAGCTCCTAAGTTCTCCCAAGTGCCGAGGGAAGCCCAGTGCCTCACTCCAAGTGATTTTCAGTGGGAAGTGGGTATTTGGCTCCTTACCCAGTACAATGAAATTCTGCTCTGCTTACACTGTAGATCATTGTACTAGCAAAACTGAATTCAATCCACAGAGAGGTCTTTCGTCATTAGCAGTTTTATTTTTAGGGCTTTTATCTGTACGCTCTTTGTGTTGCAAAAACAAAGGAAATAATCGCATTGCAGCCACTTCAGTTGGCGGAGAAAACCTGGAGGGAAGAAACTGAGTTTGTCAAGGTATGCCCCTCCCAACAGAGGGCCAAGCTGCAAATACCGGGACAGAATCAAAACCAAATCTCCTGCACTAGCCAGAAGCAGTGGAAGCAAACCCTTCATGAGAGGCTGTGGTGCCCAGATTGCAGTCTGACTCACCCAGCTGCTTGCTAAAATGCTTCTTTTCAGCAATGCCCAGAATGGAAGCACAACAGCATAAAACACCTTCTGATCAGAACCAATGAATCTGAGCAGGGGGAAGCAATTGAAAAGCCTGCTGTCCAAGTTGTCTGCCCTCCCTCATCCCCATGGAAGTTACTAAAACTTTAGCAGAAGGAAGCAAGTATCAACTCCCTGGTTGGCCCAACTCACAGCCCCATAGATTATCTTAAACTACCATCTTGCCTTAAAGCAACCTACTGTACCGTGAACTGTGGCCCTGAGGACTAGGCACAAGTCTGGGTTTTGCTAACTCTGCTACGCTGCTGGTAATCTCCAGCAGAGCAATCCTGCAGGTGCCCAATGCAAACAGCTGGAACTCAGCAACACTTACCAGACACCAGCTGGGGCCCCATCAGGTTTGGCCAGAAAACTGCTACTTTACACAGAAGCTAAAACTTCAGAGTTATTTTGCTGCCCCATACACACTACCATTCTCACCGGATTGTTATTACTGTAACGATTTGCCCCAAACATCAATAATTCTCTTGAATGACAAAACCATGTATTTCACTGCTCCTCTGAAATTTGTCAAACTTTTGTTTCCATAGAGAGCCATTTAACACCTAGGTATTCAACTGACTATGATAAAGTAATCTAAACCTTTTTCTTAAGAAAACTCAACTGAGCTTTTCAGCATTTCACTATGGCCAGGTTTTCCAGGCCTCAGAATATGTTTGCTATTCTCTTGCAAACCACATCTTTCCTGTGGAAACAGACAACCCATTTCAAGAGCTGGACCAACTGTGACTTGCTTCCAGCACACCCCATTTTTCCATTCAAAGGTACCTTCAGTGACTGCAGAGCCTCTGCGTTTGTATCACAGTAGAGGATAATGTTGTTCGCCATGCTGAAGCTCTCCCTGACTCCCAGGTGGTAGAACAGGGAAGGCTGACGGAAGGCGTCACTCATCTCTACAACAGCAATATCTGCAGAAAAAAAAAAAAAAAAGTTGTTAATGCCACACATTTCTGACAGCCAAACACTTCTACGCCATTTCTCTTCACACTATTTGCTCTGATAAGAAGACCTGATTTTAAGTAGGAAATGAGATCAGCAGGATGTGGTTTAATTTTTTCTCCTTTCTTTCTCCCCCTCCCTCTCCTTTTTTTTTTTAATGAGACCTTCATTTCCTCAGGTAAAAACATCATCACTAATCAAGAAAAGGCAAAAAAAATGGTGCCTTGGAGAATAAAATCAGCTTGGTTAATCTATACATGATGATTGATGACCTTATGGAAAAAAAGAAAGAATTACACTGGAAGTGTATTTTCACCCTCTGTACAAGTTGCAATAAAAATTCATGCAATATTTTTACATCACTGCAGAACACACTGTATAGATTCTGTATTAGAACTTTGGATAAAACAGCTGTAAATTGAAAGAAAAGCAAAAGTTCCAATACGTATATCACTCAGATCTATTTTGATTCATACACAAGGACTGGAGAGAAAAAAGGAAGAAGGTACAGCAGAAGAGAAGGAAAGAGAGAGTGAATATGTAAAGCCATAGAAACTCCCATATAAGTAATAACTTTATTGTGCAGAGAATTCTGTTCATAATAAATTTTAACTGCATGAATAAAATTAAGCACATGCATAGATGCTTACAAGGCAAGCAATGTAGTCCACAATTTCTCTTAAAACATGTGTTTCCCTTGCCCAGATTCACACCAAAGTAAAGCAAGAGGCAACTGCAAAGTGTCAGCAGAAATAATTAAGGCTTCTACTATAGCAGGCAGCACATGTCCACTGCGAAAGGCTTGTGGAATCAAGAGAGAAAAACAAGAAAATGGATTCATCTCCATCTCTCCTGCAAACACTATCTCTTCAACCAATTCAGTTTTTTCTTTTCTTTCCGGAAAAAAAATATATCAGGGAAATGTAGTTCTGTGAAGAGTAGAATTAAAAAAAAAAAAAAAAAAAGCAGCAGCCTGGCTTCCAGTGTCTCTCCCTACTCTCCCTTCCTGTGGATGCTTCTGTGAGAGAAAGGACTGGTAGCAAGGCAAGCTCTGTAGGCAAAAAGCTTATGCACCCTCAAGTTTCCTTACTCTAATTGATCTAATAAGAGATTCTACCTCTAACCACAAGCTTTACCTTGCCTATTTCCCTAGATCGTCAAAACTGCAATGAAGATATGTAGTAAAAGATAAGCCTTGTAGCCATGCTTCTCAACTGGGAAGGCAGCAAAGGCATCTCGCCAACTTGCTGAAAAGTACCATCTTTGACACATCTACCCTTCAGTCATACTTCACTGTAACTAGCCTACACGCTTAGAAATTATTAAAAAGCTGAAGAAAGGATGGATACACACAAGGGGATGAACAGACAACATTTGCCTATACAAGCTTAGGCTCTTCAAGAAAAGAGATTAGAAGACATGACTAATGGTATAAAAAAGGAATTTTTTTTCCCCTCACAAAAATCAAATACTGAATTATGTTTTCTAAAACTTTTATAATTTGTATTCTAAGAATCTCCCTCTGTCCAATTTCACATAAATATTTGCAGTATGGATTCCATCAAATACATTTAATTGAAGTGAAAAAGGCAGTGCATGGCTAAGACCATACTACACTGACTTCCATTCATTTTAGGAAAGTGAGACATCACAAAAACCAAACAAGAATGACAATGTTGCTACTACATTTTGTTTGGGTGAGATTAGGGCTTGTTTGTTTATTTTCTTTGGGAAGTTGCCATAATACAAGCTCTATTTTTAACTACTCTTATTCATAGAAAAGTCTCATCTTGAGCAACTGTAAGCCTATGGTACATTTCTGTTACATTGAGCAGGAGGAAAATTTGCGCAATTTGCCACAACTTAATTCTCAAACCTTGCAAGATAACGTGCTCTCTCTAGAGTTGCAAAACTAAGATTAAAAGAGAAATATTACTTAGAAAAATAAAGTGATAGTGCCTGAGCAAACTCAGAATACATTAAATACTTGAGAACTCCTATCCATTTAACACAATCGTTAGAACAAAACTGACTCAGGGCCACACTGTAAGAAGTGTTCTTCAAGTCCTGTCCTACCCCTGTCATAGCAATACAAAACAAATAAACAAAAAAAGCAAAAAAACAAAAAAACACCTTGAGTTACTTAAACAGAGGAGGTAAGGACCACAAGAATAAGGAAACATTTGTAAGAAAAATTACACTAAGATATTGGCATAAACTCTGTTGTGGTACTTCTGTTTCTGATGCAACTAAAGAGGATCTCTTTTCTTTACATGTTAAGACTTTTGTGAAATCCAGGTCTTCTGGATAATCTCATTTGATAAAGGAGTATCTTCCTTAGATTAGGTTCAGCTTCTGTGAAGTTTTCCTTCTTACTCTAGCAGTTATGTATTTTAAGACAAAGTTGTCACTCATAACAAAGAGATCAGATTCTAAAGCCCAGGTTATCCCTCTCAGGGCTGGTATCACAGTTTCCAAGGGGAACAGACCAATTCTTACCTGCAGTTCCAACAAGCCACAAAAGTACATGCACTTGTGGGACCAGGTGTCTATCCAATTAAAAAAAAACCCTATCTGACAGACCCATTTCTGACTATCTTCTTTCACAACATCAGTAGAGAAACTCCTCTGACTAAAGGACAGATCAGTGCATGGAGCACTAGCCAGAAGTTCAGACATCAAATACAAAGCCGCAAATGGAAGCTCATTAAAAAGAGGGTAGTGGTAATCACTCCAATAAAGCACCTGAAATGTACTGTCAAGTGCACTATAAAGCAGTTAAATACTATATTCAGTTACATAAAGTGTGATCAGAAGTTGTCCTGGTTTCAAAACGAGGACAGAAGTTTAGCAAAGCTGAGCAAGACTGACGGTTTTCGAGACAAATCTAACTCAAGTAAACATACATCAAAATTCTCACTAGTTCAAAGAGCCAGGATTTAGCTAAGCCCAGAAGAACTGTTTGGTTATCAATATATAAATTGCCAGAAATCCATTTATTGGGCTCTCACTACCCCCCAGATGAAATTAATCTAACAGCCTGCTGGAAAGAAAGATATGTTTTCCATTCACTGGAAAAGACAATTTCCCAAGTGGCAAAATGGTATTTCAATAAAGCTGGAAGAATTATCTCTACAGTCACACTGGAATAAAACCCACTTAAAGTATTTGCAGTTTCAGTGTCAAGGCAAGTAAAACAACAATGGACCAAGCACAGGAACCAGAGTAGAGCCCTCTCAACACCTAAGCCCTCAGGATGAAGCACTCTGAAGGCCAGAGACTGATAATTCACTCCAAATGCTGTTGCACATCTACACTGCAGTAAAACAGTCTGTTCAGGCTCCAGCAGGGTGGGTATGGAAGTACACTGTGCAGAACAGAGCAAGAGGGAGGGAAGGGAAGAACTGCAATTCTTGCAACCCCACAGGTTGCGGGAAAGAATAGATTTCATCCTTTGCTTTGGTCTTGGGCACAAGATTAAATTTTGCTTTCTCTATCTCATGATAGAACTACAGGCCAGTGAGTCTCACCTCC